TAAGAGCTGAGCTGTTGAAGATTATTTTGAACTGGATAAGAAAACATTCCAGAAGATGACGAAGAACTCCCAGGAGAACAATATTGTTGATAATATTCCGGAGAACTGGGATCGGAACGAAATTCCATTTTGGAAACAAAGTTGATAAGATAAAATTCTTCTAGTGTTATGAACTAGATTACTCCTCTAAATATCCTCACAAATTGGTCAGACTCTTGAAAAAATGTCTTGGAATTATTCCCTGTGTCAATGTTTTCAAATACTGTACTAAATCAACCAATAACATTTGGTTATATAAATATTCCTTACGATAGTCAAAGTCTATCTAAAACTCAATTAATACTTTATAAATTATTATTCAAATTTATCTGAATATATTTTTATAAAATAAAAATGAAATTAAAACACAGATATTTAGAGCAAATATTTCCCAAACTGTAAATATCACTTTCACCAAAATTCACATGAAAAACATACAGATATTTTCAGTCAAATGATCAGGAACTTTTCTGAATACTCAAAGTTTCCACAACTGTTCATAAATAACAATGCTATCCATATCAGAATTCACATGTCTACTGACAAAAGCAAAAATTCAACTAGCATTTTATACTTTTACAACCTATCACTGATCATTTCAAACCCCTGACTACATCTAAATCCCATCTTAAAATCACCTGCTCAGAATCAAAGGGGGTGGGACCAACTGATACTATATTTAGTAGCATTTCTATGGGTCATTATCCTGTGACCCCATAACATTATGTAATAATGGACTATTCTAGTAATAGCCAAGAGTTACAAGCAGTTAATGACCACTTGTGTCATATTGTGTAGTGACATGACATAATGTCATGACATTATAATTTGACATGGCCATTTGACGACAATAAAAATATGCATTTCTCTTGCGGTTCAATCAAATATTTCCATATTAGGGTATGCCAAATAAATGTCACTTACTAGAAATTTATGCTTGATTAACTTCAATAAAACTGCTGCATAAATTTATCAAATAAGATTTTAATTAACTAAAATTATTTATTTCTCAAGACATAATTTCCAAATTTAGACCTGTCAAATAAATGTTGTCAGTGAGTATTACAGAACATTCATCATTACAAATTTCAACAGGGCTGAATATTTTCCATTTTTGGAAATGCCAAATAAATGTCAATAACTAAGCTCATGGCCTAGGGCCTATTTAATTTAATAAAGTATTGCAGAACATACATGAATAAAATTCTAACAGGGACAAATTATACACTTCTTAGTCAAATATTTTCAACTTTTAGATATTCAAATAAATATCAGTACATGTACTGATAAGTAAAAGTTGATGCATGATTTACAGATACTTTCCAACAAAAGTTTTTATCAGGTGGTTATTTCCAATAAAAGTATGGCAGTTTTGGTATGTATGGAAAGTAGAAACATCCAATCTTACTAGAAAAATATTGGATTCCCTGAAAAACACCCATGAAGCGCATACAGGACAAAAATGTCATGGTTTCCCTAACCAGCAACCCAACGATTAGGGATGTCTGCTCGACATATTAGTCCCAAAAGTACTTGGTTTGTGTCGAGTGGACGTTAAACCCCATTTTTCTCACTTTCTCTCTTAAATCAGACCCAGTTTTGAGTGCCCCCTCCCCATGAAATCAAGTAAGGGCCTCTAAGTTTCACAAAAAAACAATAATGAAATCAATAACAATCATAATATATATATATATATATATATATATATATATATATATATGACATGAAATTTATGTCAACTTGAACCAGCGGCTGCCAGGCAGGATACACCCACATTTTGCAAGAGATGGAGAGAGAACAAGCTAAAAACAAACATTTTGTACAATCAGGGGCAATAATCCAGAAAGTTATGGTCTGAAATGCACAAATATCAAAAGGGACTGAGATCTTTGGGATATAAAGATATGTTTTGAGTTTCATCAGAATCGGATAAAATTTGAGACCTCTAGAGGGTCCACAACCTTCATATTGCATACTTTTACACAATTTGCGTACAAAGAGCGGCCATTTTGTCGGGAAGTTTCATTATGATTTTCCCGAAATTCGAATTCAACCTTCATTATGGTGGAATGGTGAAATATTTAAACGGTTTTTAAAATCGGAAAAAAAAATTGTGACCTCTAGAGAATCTGCAAGCTAAAAATGTGATTTTTCGAACAATCAGGAGCCATAATCCAGGAAGTTAAGTTTGGATATATGCGATTATCAAAAGGAACCAAGTGTGTAATGATGATATATTCACGTTTTTTTTTAAATCGGATAAAAATTGTGACCTCTACATGGATGGCAAGCTAAAAACGCGATTTTTTGTATATTAAAGGGCCATAATTTAGGAAGTTATGATCCAATACACACGAATATCGAAAGGAACCAAGATCTTTGGGTTATAAACATGTATTTCAACTCTCATCAAGATCGGATAAAAATTGTGACCTCTAGAGGGTCCACAAGCTTGATATACCAGATGCTATACACCATTTGCATACGAGGGGCGGCCATTTTGTCCGGCAAAATTCGAACTCAATAAACATTACGGTGTAACAGTGATATATTCAAACGTTTTTTTAAATCGGATAATAATTGTGACCTCTAGAGGGAAAACAAGCTAAAAACCAGCGGCTGCCAGGCAGGATACGCCCACATTTTTGAGAGATGGATAGAGAACATGCTAAAAAGAAAGTAATTTTTCCTACAATCAAGAGCCATAATTCATGAAGTTACATCCATTTCAAGCTTCATCAAAATCAGATTAAAATTGTGACCTCTACAGGGTCCACAACCTTGATATACCATATTTTTACACTATTCGCGTACAAGTGGCAGCCATTTTGTCCGGCAGTTTTAGTTTGATTTTCAGGAAATTTAAACTCAGCCTTTATTATGGTGTTACGGTGATATATTCAAACGATTTTTAAAATCAGATAATAACTGTGACCTTCACAGGGACCACAAGCTAAAACCAGCGGCTGCTAGGCAGGATACGCCCACATTTTCGAGAGATGGATAGAGAACAAGCTAACAAGAAAGTGATTTTTCCTACAATCAAGGCCATAATTCAGGAAATTACAATTCGATATGCGCATATATCGAAAGGAACTGAACGAACGGCAGCCATTTTGTCTGTCAATTTTGGGCCGATTTTCACAAAATTCGAACTCAGGGTGTAACGGTGATATAATAATACGTTTTTTTAAATCGGATAAAAATTATGACCTCTATAGGATCCACAAGCTAAAAACGCAATTTTTCGTACAATCAGGGGCCATAATTCAGGAAGTTACGGTCCGATACATGCCAATATTGAAAGCAACCAAGATCTTTTGGAGATAAACCTATTTTTCAAGTTTCGTCAAAATCAGATAAGAATTGTGACCTGTATAGTGTCCACAAACAATTGTGGACGGACGGACAAGGGTGACGACAATATACGTCCACATGAAAATGTGGGCGTATAATAAAACTGCTTTCTGGCGAGATAAATATCGACAAACAACTATATGTCAACTTGGATAAAACTGCTTTCCGGCCAGATAAATATCGACGATCAACATACTTTCTATGTTCTACCCAGAGAGAGAGAGAGAGAGAGAGAAATGGGGTTTAACGTCCACTCGACACAAACTAGGTCATTTCGGGACCAACACATGGTTCAATTTTATTTACATAATTCGCTTGCGCGTAGGGGTCTTTAGCAGTGGGAGGAAACCGGAGGTCCCGGAGAAAACCCACGAGGCTGGACAGGCGACCCTACTCCTTGCCACGTACAACCGGGGATTCGAAACCACGCAAGTCGACTCAATGACAGACTTTATAATACAGCGCGCGCACGCTAACCATTCAGCCATCCAACCCCCCCTGTTCTACCCAGGCACTCAGTGTTATTTTGCTGACATTCACTGTAGGGTGGGATTGTGGATGATGCCCTAGATTTGAAACCCCCCAACTGTCATTTTTATCCACAGTCAGATTAGACAACAACATGCAATAGCAGATCTAACAACTGGTCAGTGAAACCATTATGATCCAATTATTATTTTAATATCTGCTAGATGCACAATCCATGCCGAGATTGTCTTCTTTCGATTGCCGCATGGCTTATTTCCTCAAAGGCAACTTACTGGACCTGTTATGAATAATCAGCAAGCCTGTTTTGTTTTTTTTACCGGCTGATTATCAAAATTACGATTACTTGTGCTAATTACTCGGATTATGAACTACATGGCCGATTTTCACGAAGGTTATTGTAGCCGACAAGCAAGTTGATTGACTATTTAATTAGCAAGTAATAATTAACCTGTTGTCATTTAGCCGATTGATTTACAATGTATGATACCATAGTGGCCGGTTCATTGTTTTACCAATCGGCTTGATTAAACTTCAAGCGACTAAAGCCGACAAAAAACTGACGATTAAGATCCCTGCTACTGACCAAGCTGGGTAGCCCATCAGATTCCTTGATTATTGCAAATACCAAGTGTCCCACTTTCCAGCTAAAATGTCTGTGTCACAACCTCTGATTGGACGCTACTGTTCACGTGTCTGCTGTAAAGGGAGATAACGTACATGTAGGTATAAGTTCTGGAATTGCACAGCACTCTAGCAACATCTAGATGTTGTAAAACTCATGGTTGTTGCTTCAGGAACATGATGTAGGTACTGATAGAGAATTGTTTTATTTAAGACAAGTTATTTGACACTGAACCAGATTCAGACCAGTTATTTTATAATTTCACTTACTTACATGTAATACATGTATGTGGTCTGAACTGGTGAGATATTAAACCCCATTTTATCTCCCTGTACTGAACCTTAAAATTGCTTCTGACTTCCTATATGTATATTTACCTAAATTAACTGTTGGATCCATGATGGAGTCAGACATCATTCCTGATACAGTGTTCAAACAAGCTCTAGCCTGAGCAATTCTTTTCTCTGATAATCGGCGCATTGGAACTGGTTTTGCTAACATATTTTGCTGCATGGCAACTAGATTCCCCATACCTCCTTGCTGCATCATTGACATGGCCTCTTCAGGACTTCCTAAGAGAAAAATATAAAAGCACACAGTATATGTATAAGATTGATCCTCACAGAAGTACTTGTTTTAAGCTACATGTACCACTTCTTAAAAGGGGATATTTCCTGATAAAGTTTTCGATATGCTATTGTGCTTACCATGATGTTGCGACATTGTGTCCTTATTAACCTTGATGCACTACAATGTATGTACCTATAATTTCTAGATCAATAAGTACTATCATATTTATTATAACTAATCAGGGTTAAACTACACAGCATAATATCAAGTATTAACTCAATTCATACAAAAAGATGGACAATAACTCTGGAAAAATAAGAATGAGCTCAGGTATAACCTGCAGCTTCTTCATTATCACTGCTAGATGTGTCTACAGTCATGCCACAAGGAATTTTGCCAAGACATTAGCATTTGCAGTTACTCTTCATCAAATTTCAGCTGTCACAGGTTCTTTTACATGCACAAACCCATATGGACCTTGGTTTTGCATCCCTAACCAAACTACTATGGGCAGTTTATTTGTCGTCCCGGGATTGGAACCCGTGACATTCTAGTCGAGGGGCCAATGTCCTGACCTGACTGCTCGATCACCATGAACTCATAACAATTAAACATACCAATAGGTATTTAAAATATTTCAAAGTTGATTTTAAGGTTAGAACAGAAATAAGTCGCTAAATTCCACCTCTCTCCCACCTAATTTCAACTTTTCCAGGAGGCATAATAAAGTTAAGGTGCTACATGTATACATGTATATTTAATTTATGAAAGAATGGGTGCAATTTTAAATCAAACAAAGTGTGATATTTTAAAACAATTCTTCTATTTTACAACGATGGTGTGCAAGATTTTAACAACAGGTATTAGTAGTGTTGTAGTTTTCAGAACTCATGTGAGCATTTTAAACAATGTAACCAGTGCTCTGTGCTTTTTGGGTGACATTTATATTCCTACCTGGAGGTGTGGGCGGCATGTGTTTCTCCCCTTTCATTGGATAACCTGATTCTGGCATGTAATAACCTTGTATTCCTGAATAATCAGACGAATGCTCTGCTGCCCTCGCAGCAGACGCAGTTGCCAGTGTACCCAGACCTGACATATCTGGTTGAACACCAGAAGACGTACCTGGCATATTCATTGCCATGGCAGCAATACTATGTGATGAAAGGGCATCCATGGTACCTGCTGTCATGGGAAACTGCTCTGTGTAGAAACCCGGACCAGATTTGTGGGATCCATCTGAAAGAAAAACAAGTTTATTAACAATATTTTCAATCCACAGTTTTACTATAACTAAAACAAGCAGTTGCCATGCAAGATACATGTATGCCCAAATTTTGCAAAAGATATATAGAGAACACGCTAAAAAATAAAAATGCAACTTTTGGTACAATCAGGGGCCATAATCCAGGAAATTACAGTAAGATATGCACAAATATTGCCAGGTACCAAGATCTTTTGGATATAAACATATATTTTAAGTTTCATCAAGATCGGATAAAAATTGTTACCTCTAAAGGGTCTACAGCCTTGGTATTACATACTTTTACACTACTTGCGTACAAGTATCAGCCATTTTGTTGGGCAGTTTCGGTCCGATTTTCACGAAATTCGAACTTAATCATCATTAGGGTGTTACAGTAATATATCTAAAAGTTTTTTTTTAAATCAGATGAAAATTGTGACCTAAAGAGATTCCACGAGCTAAAAACCTGATTTTTCGTACAATCAGGGGCCATTATCCAGGAAGTTACGGTCCGATATGTGTATATATCGAAAGGAACCAAGATCTTTGCATTATAAAAAATATATTTTAAGTTTCATCAAAAACGGATAAAAATTGTGACTTCTAGAAGGTCCACAAACTTGGTATTACATACTTTTAAAATATTTGCATACAAGGAGTGGCCATTTTACGAAATTGGAACTCAACCAACCATCATTGGGGTGTACCGGTGGCATGTTAAGATGATTTTCAAAATTGAATACAAATTGTTGACTTCTAGGGTGTCCACAAGCTAAAAATGCGATTTTTCATACAAGCAGAGCCCATAATCCAGGAAGTTACAATCCTATTTGAGTGAATATCGAAAGAAACCAACATCTTTGGGTTATAATCATACATTTAAAGATTCATCAAAATCGGATGAAAATTGTGACCTCTAGAGGGTCCACAACCTTGATATTACATACTTTTACACTATTTACGTACACAGACCAGTTTTGGTCCGATTTTCAAGAAATTTGAACTCAACTGTCATCATAGTGTAACAGTGATATATTTGAACGGTTATTAAATCAGATAAAAATTGTTACCTCTAACAATCCAGGAAGGTGCAGTCGAATATGCGCGAATATCAACAGGAACCAAGATCTTTTGGTTATAAACATACCTTTCAAGTTTCATTTAAATAGGATAAAAATTGTGACCTCTAGAGTGTCCACAAGCTAAAACCATGATTTTTCTTACAATCAGGGGCCATAATCCATGAAGTTTTGATCCAATCCATGCTAATATGTAAAGGAATCAAGATCTTTTGAAGATAAACCTATATTTCAAGTTTCGTCAAAATCGGATAAAAATTGTGACCCGTAGAGTGTCCACAAACAAATAGTGGACCAACGTCCGGATGACAGACAGGGGTGACGACATAATACGTACACATGAAATTGTGGGCATATAAAAAGAAATGAATATAAATGTGACCTTCAACATAGAGTGTCCACAAATAAATAGTGGACCAACGTTTGGACGACAGACAGGGGTGACGACATAATACGTACACATGAAATTGTGGGCATATAAAAAGAAATGAATTAAATGGGGTTTAACATACTACTTTTTTGAAACAACTGAGTTAATGAAGACAGGACATAATACCATGCAGTGTGCAATTTTGTCCACACTTTCACTTAATCTTCATTAAGTGTCCATGGGATCACAAAGTATTTTTCTTCCCATATGAATAATTAGTCAATTACCAGGCCCTTCATCCTGCATCATTGACAAATTGGAACCATTTTGGAAAATCCTAAGAAACTTTGGAATTCATTTGAATGATTTTACCAATACATCCTACTGGTTTACATTTACCAATACACAATAATAGTGTTACTAATGTATACACATGTATTGTTCCATCAATAAAACGGGGCATTGTCACTTTCAGCAAGAAAATAGATATAATCATATATCATATTGAAATAACCTTAGATCTCAAATTTGCATACAATCTAATTTGAACTAAACAATGTAAGCTTAATCTGATCACAGACCAATTAATATTTTTTTAGCGCTAATTATGTACAAATACATGTACACACTAATTATTTTGATAATCTCCTATACATTTTATAATATGCATCATAAGCTTTTTTAATACACAATAGTTCTACCAATATACAAGAGCATACATGTACATGCGTGGGTGTGTTCTGTCTTAGTGTTAGCTGAGAAAGTTCACCAGGACTTTCTGTTATGGTTACCATTTCTCAGTGGTGCAGGACAGAGGACCTGGCAGGGAATAATGTATAGTCGTTTGGATAGGCAAAAAAAAAACGAGGTCATGTGTACACATAAGCGTGCATGTAAAAGATCCATCGGCAGTTGGAATTCGATATAAGAGTAGGCCAGGCATAATTTCCCTCAAAGTAAACAGTATATGGTGTATGCTCCTTTTCATTATCCCAGTTAGAGCAGAACAGTAGGGTGTAACCCCATTTCATTTGTCAACTTATGCAATAAATGTATTTTAACGGTTCCGACCTACCAATTTTGAATGTTCAGATTAGACTGTACAAGTGTGGAAAATTGGAGACAAACTCACCGACCCATCTCTGAGATATGGATAATCAAATTAAACAGCTGACAATTTAAAGATTTCACTAATATTTTGGTGGTTCTGAAGTGGGCGCAAAATAATTTAATCTCAGCAGGTCAGTGCCTTCATTTTCGGTGATTTTGAAAGTCTGAGACTATTTAGAATATGATATTCATTCAAAGAAAATGACATTTTTTTCTTGTCAAGAGCGACTGTCCATCTTTAATTTAGTTGTCAATCGATCTCGCTAAAAGAATGCACATGATTCTATTAAATATTGCAATTTTCATATAGGCTAAACTTTTATGTTGGACGTAAGTATTTTAATAATTAACAGTAAATATTAATAATCGGCTCATATACAGTTCGACGAGATCCATCATCGAACGTCAATAGGTGAACACATACATAAATACTTTACGAATCACCCTCTCACTTACATTACTATTTGCCCGTTATATGTTTTGTATCTAAACAGAATTAATTCCTATCACTAAATTATTATTCATCACATAAATACAGTAATAAAATCTGTCGTTTGAAAACTACACATTCCCTGTTACAAAAACATGAAACCATGACGCTGATAAAACTACAATATGGTGGGTGACTTTAACCCTTTCACTTTCTTATCGTGTAGTACAATAAAACAGTCATAGTTAACCCTTTCGCTACGTGACGGAAAACTAACATTTTGAAAAACTTTAAAAAAGATCTTCGGATTTTGTTTGATAACGGGGAAAATTATATTATCTTAATATTGAAGCAGGAATCTTTTATTTTTTTACAAAAAATAAAAAAGGTCATCCCTTAATTAAAGTCATCGAAAAGGGGCCGTATTTTATGTAGGCGGTATGTAATATGGAGTAAGAAAATCTGTAAGAATAACCGATTGTATAATTTCATGTGAGATTTAACGATTAATTGAATAACAGAACAATTCTATGGGCTGGTTTGGGGGACAGCCGTTAAAGAAGAAAATGGCTACCGTTATGGGTCATTATATAATTGTGTTCACAACTTTTCAATATGGCTGCTGACCTCGACTCGTAACAGGTTACAAATTATGAAGACTTACCAAAGTTTTCTCCACCTCCTCGATGCGAATAATTCACCATCGAAGACATCATATTACTATCAATCGAACCTTGAAAATCACAAAAGTTACTTTCCGTCATATTAAGGTTTTTTTGAAGACTTTTTGCTGTTTTTTCTGTAGTTATTTGGCTTCCTTGGTCCCGTTGTCCAGTATATTACGTCATCACCGCTGACACAAGCTCGCGTCCAGCCTGCGCAATAGGGTGTGTCCACTATTCAAGGGTGTAACGGAAGGATTAGAATATAAAGATTCTAAAATCCTCACGTACAAAAAACCTCCAACTTTGCGAAAACTGAATCTGAAAGGTTTAATAAAAGACATGTGAACATACAAATGCATATGATGTGGAAATCCCCAAATTAAAAGTTAAAAATAAATATTTTCTGTAGCCCTTAAACCCCGTTAATGGACTAACCCCATTACTAAACGCTGACCAGTCACGTGATGTGTTGTAATCGGCCAGTAAGATAATATACGACCACCGGCAAGAGCGTGCAAGTTTAAATGATTACAGCAAAGCTATCTTCCAGCTGTGGAAAGTTCAGCACCATCTGTATTGCCTCTCACTATAATAATCATTGCATTTTAATCTCGCCGCAACAATTTTACAAATTTCGTAGTTTTGATAGCACATTCCTCTGGATGGACTACGTAGGGTTAATGTTTTGCCAAAAAAACAAACAAAAAACAAACAAAAAAAATCACCACCTATCGTTCTAGTTAGTCATCTATCAATGATAATCTTTCTTGCATCTGCGTGATGAGTATAAGATAATTGATTGTTCACGTACCGATCATAAAATTTTGTCATGAGTAAAAATAATTAGGCATAGACTGCCCAGTATTGATAGTTTAGAAACATTTACTTATTTTAGTGAAATTTACTTATTTTAGTGACATTTACTTATTTTAGTGACATTTACTTATTTTAGTGAAATTTACTTATTGTACCCTTGATAAAAACAAGGTACGTGTCTATGTAAACAACTATACACCATCTTAAAGTTATTTCATTCGTCATTCAATTTTTGGTGAAATCTTTTAAACGTGGGTTAATAATGATGTGTAGAAAACATATCTATATATCTTTCCTTGTCGGTCACATTTTGCAATACTTTCTTGGATAATGACAAAAACACCTAGGACCTTTTTTTTGTCACAATTTCAATTAGACCTATCAATATTTTTTTATATGAAATCAATCAAATTTTTGTTATGATGTGAAGAAAATGCATTTTCCTTGTCGATCATCTTATGCAATATTTTCGAAGCTATTGACAAAAAAAAAATAAAAAATAAAAAAAAAAATGAAATAAATAAATAAATTTGCCTTGTCGGTTCATGTCTTTGACAAGTAGTCTAGTACCCGATTATCAGCGTCGCATTGGAGACAGAGCTAGACCCTCCAAATAATTAATTAATAAATAATCGGTGTCACCCGCCTTTCAGACAGATTCTGACAATGTGGACCACCTTCGACACCATCCTGGTATACTCATTATTGACCAATAAGAAAATATTTGTTTTCCTTATTAGGTCATTCTATACAAACAGGCTAGATCATTTATCGATAATTAACTTTCATTTAAATAATACCACTCTTAATTACTATAGCCGGGATCATTCGAGGTATTATACAAAAATTATGTGATCATGTTTCGTTGATCATTATGATAAAATCTAGAAGAACATGACATTTATATTTAACTTTAGTCGAAAGATATAATACAACATTGTAACACTTTTTAATAAAATAAATTATTTGGAATACATTTTTACAGCAAAATCCTCTGAAAATGTGTTCGTTTCTTTTTAATTCCCGAAGGCTCAAATCTGTTTTTCGGGAAATATACTTCATTCTCGGATAAAATACGAACATCCAGCAAATTCTATTTCAGCTATAATCTGAACAATTCTCACTCAATAACATCGGTGAATAATGATTTTTTGAAAATGGGTAAAATGCGATGTCATACACCACTCAAAAGACATAGATGGAGACCTGTGAAGTCCCCCAAATACGCCCTTTTTGCTATAATAGTTCGAAAATTGATAATGAAGAGTGAATACATTGAAAATTTATAAGTATACCTTATTATATCAGAAGTAATGAATGGCTACTTTTATCCACGGATAAGACATTCTTTTGTCAATAACGCCCAAAGTATTGCAAATAGTGACCGACAAGGCGGGGGGGGGGGCTGAGAGCCAGAAAGCCCCTGAGAAGGGCAGCGTGAGGGGTCCCTACCCGGGCAGTAAAAATGTTTTTGAAAATCTGACTGTAAATGGTGCTTTCTAGAGTAAGCCATAACGCAAAATAATCACGTGAAGGGAAGAGCATGTTCCTGAAGCAACGACTGCGAGTTTTACATCTTGATAAGATGTACGTAGTTAAAGCGAGATCAAGCCTTCTATTGAAGATGGGGGAAGAGGGGACACCCCACAAATTTGCCACTGCCAGATTTACCATGGATCACATTATACGTTGCAAAATTACAAATGACCTGGGTCACAAAAGCTCCTCTGTTGAAGTATATTAAAAATCCCAACAGAACGACTGGGTATACCACGTAAATATTTTGGAGGATCTGATTACTGTCTTTCCAATTTAAAAAAAATATTTCAATTAATATAAATAAACCATATTTTCAAAACAAAACCTCTCTTATTTAATGGTTTTATTGATTTACATATATATATGGAGGCACTAAATATGTTTAGTACATTGGGCCTCTATAGGTCTTAATCCGATCCTGTCCTGAGTACCAAATCCCCAGACCAGAGACTGCTTTGCTTACCAATTCATCAAAAACGACGTAAATTGAAGAATAAAAAAGGTCCTCAATCTATGTGAGAACCTTAGCGGCTCTAGAGGGCCTCGGGCCTACCATACCCGCGCAGGCTCCTTCGCAGTACATCCATGCGACAAGGAATGGTATTTTATAGATATATGGAAAAGTTACATTGTCTACATTGCAATTAGCTCCGCTTGAGAACAGACACGAAGCTGGTTGACCGACATTTTAATTCCTAAATCGACAAGAAGTTTTGAGAAGTATTTATTATGCTTCCATTTAATATAATTGAAAATATTTATTTAGTGTGTACTATGAAAGATGCAAAACGGATTATAGCCGCAATACAAAATAGTACACTTTTTTTGGATATGGCGACCATTTAAGGCATAATAAGAGACCATAATCCACGAAGTTACGGTCCGATTCATGCCAATATCAAAAGGAATCCAGATCGTTGGGATATAAACCTATATTTCAAGTTTCGACATAATTTGATAAATAGTGTAACCTGTCGAGTGTCCACCAACAAAATGAGAGCGGGCACACGGACGTACAGGAGCGACGACAATATACGTGCACATGAAAATGTGGCTATAAAAATCATTTAAATATAGAATATGCCGTGTAGAATATGCATTATAACCTATCTTTCCTTATTGGTCACTTTTTGTAATACTTCAGGAGCTGTTGGTTCCGCACGTAACAAACGTTCGAAAACGAAATGGTAGCGTAGCTAGCCTGTTGAACTTTACTTCTCCATAGGTAGCGTGCCTCTGATGTTCAGAATGTGTCGGTTCTTGTAGGTGATTAGTAGGACTCCTTTTATCGAATTTCAGACAAAGCCGGTGTAATTAAATTTGTTGTATTACTTTTATTCCAAATAAAGACGTTTAATATTATAATAGCACAAAAAGCTGTGCAGTATTACCAGGTCATTTATCGACAGTTTCTGAAAATGTCTTTGTCGGTCATATATTATGAAATGAAATGAAATGAAATGGGGTTTAACGTCCTACTGTTCTGCTCCTATACTGGGCTAATGAAGACGGGCATAGGCCATACAGTGTGCTATGAGGGAAATTTTGCCCGGGCAGCGGCACGTAAAAGATCCCCTGGCAGTTAGAATTCGATATAAGAGTAGGCGATAGTGCCGCTGCCCTCATAGCACACTGTATGGCGTATGCCCGTCTTCATTAGCCCAGTATAGGAGCAGAACAGTAGGACGTTAAACCCCATTCCATTTCATTTCATTTGTTAGGCCCCCTGTCCTTGTCCTATAAAACTGACAAGGGGGAACCGATAATCCCGAGGTACGTTTCGGCCAACACCAGGTCCAGATGGAATTCTGAATGGGCACTTAAGGCATTCTATGTTCTCTCTGGTCCCATTTTTTACCACACCATTGAACACAATTCTTCCGAGCAGTAACTATTCAGAATCATGGTGTAAAGCTGTCGTTGTTCCATTACATAAGCAGGGTGAGAAGACAGCTCCTGGGGACTACAGAGGGATTTGATTCTTATCGGTCATAGGAAAAGTATTTACTAAAATCCTGAGTACTCGTCTGTTTGAAATGTGTGAAGCTGAGGATATGAGGAAAGGACACAGTACCTCTTTTTATATATCTTAATAATACCTCACACGTAAAAAGGGTGGTTTCTATTGCTTATAGGTTGTATTTTACAATGTCACCTACCCTATATTTTGTTAAAACATGGTATAAGGGCAGATTTTTTCGTGTAATATCCTCCATGTACTCAATTCATATGTCCAAACTGATAAGTTATTGTTGTCAGATTATTTTAACTGTAACATGGGTACAAGACATGGCTGTATGTTAAGCCCTCTATTTTTCACATTATTTCTAAATGAGCTACTAGAAATGTTAAATCTGAATAATTGTGTAGGAACTTGTGTAAATGAATCTGTGGATAATATTTCAGAATTATGTTATGCAAATGATATAGCTTGTGTCAGAGATACTGTTGGTATATTACAAAAATATGGTATGGAAAGTAAAAACCAAAATCATTGCATTTAAGATGTGGTGTTAAAAAGTAATGTGAGAAATGGTTCTATCAAGGGGAGGTAATAGAGTCAGTGTCTGCATATAAATATCTTGGTGTATTCTTCACACCAATAGTCTCTTGGAGCAAATGCTGCAATTACTTAGCCCAACAAGCAGAAAAGGCCATGAATATGTTGTCTACGAGATTTTTCAAAGTGATCAAGGGCCATAACTCAGCCAGTAATTATCAGAAATCAAGACCATAAACACTATGCATAAATCTAAAGTCAATCAGGTAATGACTTTAGCCTCTAGAGTATCCACGTACAGGGGTGGCAACATAATACAACCACATTTCAATGTGGACGCATAAAAAGTCACTGAGGAAATAAATGGTGGTCTGCCTGCATGATAATACCCTTAATGGTGACAGACCACCAAATTTTCTCCCATTGATTTTAATGCAATCTTCTTGTGAACCTTGTCCACCACAACTGGTATAAATAGACATTCTTTCATGAAAATGGGAAAATAAATTACTAGTCTTTAATTAAGGCAGCTGAATAAACAAAAAATTATGTTCTTTTCAAAACAATCTTTATTGACAATAACAAGGTAGGATATTTTCATCAGTATTCATAAAGTTTTAATAATGTCACTAGAGCGTGTATTCACCATGTTTTATAAATATCAACATGTAGGTTTGTTGTAGGCATATATACCAAATTCAAAATTTCATCATCTTTGATGAAAAAGTGCTAATCCAAAAATATTGAAACAGTTATTTCGCATTCATGATTACATTTTAACACACACATCAGTTATGGTACACACTTTTGGGGGTAACATCAATTTCAAGCACTAAACATCTTTCCTTTAAGATTCAAATTTTTTTTTTAATTTTATTTTTTTTTATTTTAACAACAAACAACCATAGCCCAACATTTTTTTTCCTATTTATCATTTCTTTCTTCTTATTTCCTTTCACTTGTCTTTAATTTTAACATGAAGGGAGAATGCATTATTTTTATTTATTTAATCACTGGCATGTTGTGCTTGTGACATCCATTGAGCTTGGGTTCTACCTTTTTAAATTTAATTCTTTAAAGAATATAGCGGGTATTTAAATATATCTGTTAATAGGTAAAATGAATTTTGTAATAAATTTGTAATAAATATTTTGTAATAGTGTAATAAAGAGACAAATGTCCCTATAGTGAAGTGGTATGTCGATTGAATAGCCACTAAACTAGCACATGCATGATCAATACATGGAGATATATTACGTCTAATGGGCAAAATTTGACTTAGTATTTTAAATTCATTATAACTGCTGAAAAAAAACGAATATAATTTTTTTTATATATCAATAGTTCAATTTTTTTTTAAAATTCATTTAAAGGAAATCTAGACATTTTCTTTGCAGGAAGATATTTACCACATTTCAATATATACAAAATTTAACATTAATGTTTAACAATAGAACACTTTTAACAACTCTTCATACAATTAACAATGTATCACACAACACACACTTTTTATACACTCTCGCTCGAACACTCAATAACTTATCTTTTTTTTTAAATTCAACATTTATACCTTTAACTTGAACTAACATACATGTACATACAACACAATTAATCTCCACGTAGTTATTGATATTTCCACAGTTGTTTTCTTGATTTGATTATAAAAAAAAGATTTGGAATTAGCTATTTTTGATTTTTTTACAACCATTTTAGAAGATTTAATGCTATTCATTTATATTTTTATAGAGATTCGTCCAATTCAAAGATATTTTCTAATGTGGCACAAGAAACATTAACCCTCAATTCTGTTATCTGAAATTAACAGTTCACAGAGTTTATGTACTGGTATAATTCCCTCCTAAATTACAGACTGGTCTTCCGTTCTTGGTTGATTTTAATATATATTTTTGGCAAGCAGGGCTTATTTTCGCTAATCACATCCAGTTCAGGGAGAACCTGCAGCCATTATCTATGTGAATAGTAATTTTGTTGAGATTTTTAATTACATAACAATTATCTCATTTGTTTCTTCCCATCATCTATTCACTATGAGAAATCATATAAATTAGAGGATGAACTATTAGTTTTTTTCTTCTTTCTATTACTGCTATTGTTATTTCCAGCACCATTTGATCGAGAGTTATTTTTTGATGAGCGTTTTCTGGAACTAGTACCTGAAAAATTTAATGTAATGACAATTAGTATTGCACAAACAATCATTTGTCAAAACTGCAGAAAGTCATTGTATTGTAGGACTAACACTATAAACCCCAGAATGCCTCGTTCGGCATTTTTGTCCAAGCGTGTTAACCTTTTTGCCACAATTTTACCGCATTGTAACGTGGTAAAAACAAAATGCCACGTTTGTCTAGAGTTCCAAAACATTTTTTTTTTTTAAATTGCCATGTTTTTGGAACGAGGTATTTTGTCCAAATGAGGCTGTTCACAAGGATGGATACATGATTTTTTAAAAGTTTAAAAGGGTTTGGGGTGGGGTTCAGCCAAACCAAAGTCTTGTCGTGCGTATCGAGGACAGCATAATATTTGGTGACACTTTCAAGCGATTGTGTAGAGAAAAAAAACCACAAGGCAAAGTTTTGACTAGAAATGACATTCGTTGCATAAAAAGAGTTTGTTACATTCTTTGTTTCAGTTTCATGTGTTCACACAATATTTCCAACAAAGAGATGTGAGAAATGAAAAACAGTCAAGTTCAAAGCGGAGCGAAATCAATAATTGTATTTTAAGTCTTTGAAAATTATTAATTATTAATGTAGGAAAATGCATTCACATCCCACCTGTTCTTAAAAGATTTACACTGGTTATCAGCTTCTTACTTACATGTACCTGAGCTTTTACAAATGTACATACTTGGTAGAACCTTAGAACATCTAAATCTAATGATAAAATTCTTTTAAACTTAAATTTTGGCCAATATTCTTTTACTGTTCAAACCCCTATTTTATGGATTAAATTACCTCAACTAAACTAAATCTTGCATTAAATGTTTAAATTTATTTTTTAAAAGACTTTTCTGCCACAGAACGATTTCAATGTCATATATTATTGTATTATTTTTGTGCATATATTTCTGATTTTGCTGTGATAAAGTCTTTTGATGGAATATTTAAAGCACCCCTGGACACTTGAGTGAAAGGAAAGCTATATAAATTTTGTAATAATACTAAATCAGACAACTGTTTTGACTTACTATTATTAGTAGATGTAGAGTCTGCAGGTGAAGAATTGGAGGAAGCTTCCCATTGTAATGTTTCCCTCAGTGCTTGATTATCTCCGTCATCAAAACTATCTATATCGACATGGATATCTTCATCTAATGAATTCCTGTTTATATATATAAATATATATTTTAAATTAACAAAGATGTCTACATTTATTTTACTTTACACTATCATTCCAACTGGTAGGGTATAAAGACAAATCTCAGAGACCCCCTTGGCTCTGCTGCCAATTTGCAACCCTGGGGTCACTTGTGTTGTCATGACTGGACTCTGGTTTCACAGAGTGATGGGACACCTCATCAATCATGGGTAGTTGAACCATACAAAGATTAATTACCTAACCAGATATCAGTTTACTTATAAGTTTCATATATTTGGTAAAACTAGAATATTATTAGCTGGTTGAAATTTCAATTCATTTAAATTGTTTCATCCGATTTAGTCCTTTTCTGGTTTAAAAGATGAACAAGTTGTTACCTGTACTAGACAGAAATCTCCAGAAAACAGCGATAACTGTATTTAATGTAGTAATATAACTTACAAAGATCTAAGTAAAGTTTTTCTAACTAGTAATCTCTGTTCATCATTATGTTGAGGACACCTCATCGATCTTGTACACATCTTTTTTGTATGTTCAGATATCACGCCACATGTCTACAAGTATAAATAATATACCCACATGTTCACAATTAAATATACAAGATGACTAATAAGGCTGGGAATCGATATGAAATTTCAATATCGATTATCGGCAAGAATTTATCTGCGATTATCGATAATAATCAATTATCATTTTTCCGGAAAAATCCGAACTTTACCGACCTGTTATTTGTGTTGATCGAGTTACAGTAGTGTTATTATCCTAGTCTAATACTGTGCCGATGTACGTAAAAAAATCAATTAATGTAAAATAATTACATGTAGTTGCTAAATGTAGGACTAACTTGAGTATTATTCTAAGTTTTGTTCTTGATTCATTTGAACCTTTTTTTATTCCAATATCTCCGATAAATACAAAGACAATACATGGTTTCTCTTTAGTCTTTGCAAGTGACTGGCAATCACACAGTGTTACTACTAATAGAATAAAATAAAATAGAAGGCGTCTATTGATTGGACAATAAAAAAAATAATTACGGGCTTTCAAAGTAGAATTTTTATGATTGGATAATTTAGATGAAAACCAAAGTAGAATTCTTCCACGAAATTACGAGAGATATAAATATTTTCCCTGGAAGTCAAAAACGTGCTTTGTATGGGCTGTATCTTGACATGATTTAGTAATAAAAGCGGAATTGATCATTAATAATACAATTAGTTTTATCGTGAAAGCAGACGATTTCTCTACAAATCAATCAAGAACAAAGAAGGGAGATAATTCTAATTTTACTATATATCACGTGTGATTGTCATTGTTCACAAAGTGCGTGACCTATTTTAGTTTCAACTAGTAATAACAACAAAAAAAACAAAAATATTAAAATAATGTATTTAATCTTAAAGTTTAGTTTTTTTTATAATAATATATATTTAAAATGTGCCAGTTTGTAAGCAGATGGGGGAAATAGTTGTTGTGTTGATGTTGTGTATTCATTCATTCGTCTGCTAATGCCAGACTACGGCAAGTTCAGTCATGTGAAAGTGACCGTAACTTGCCGTCAGAAGGTAAATATACCGATAATCGATATTTGAATTTCAATATCGATTATCGTATCGCTAAATAACTTCTACCGATTATCGATTATATCGATATTTTTGCACAGCCTTAATGACTAATAATTTAATAATTTTGGCCAGATGTCTGGAATATCAAAATTTAGTACACTTTTCCAAATTTCTACTAAAACTAATATTGTTCACTTACATTTAACAGAAGAGATTTCCTTTCCTCTGAAAATAAATTAAATAGGCAATTAAGATGAAATACTCCTCTCAAACACCTCAATCACATAATCAAACTATATACAAACTCAAAGTATTCAAATCCATTTAAATGAATACAGAAAGGTAAGGCATAATAATCTAGACTAACATCATGGATGAGTACTTGATAATCAAGGCTGCATGTTTTGGAGTTCTGTCTGGTTGTGCTTTAATATATTTTAATACATACCCAAGGTCATATCATCATAATCAAATCTAGGTTCTGGTGTTCCTGTATCCCGATCATTATAAATATCGCCTACAAAATAATAACATACACAAATCCAACTACAATTTGTGAAGTGATAACTTCTATTTCAAATATTTTAAACACATAACAGCATAGACCCCAACATACTTTTCATGGTGTATTCCTTTGATTTAATTTAATATAAAAGTCAACTTTAAAATCGGTGATGATATTATACATATTGGAATTTAATATGTAACGGTGATATATTCAAACATTTTTTTTAAATCAGATAATAATTGTGACCTCTAGAGGGACCACAAGCTAAAAATGTGATTTTTCGTACAATCAGGGGCCTTAATTCAGGAAGTTACGATCCGATATGCGCGAATATCAAAAGTAACCAAGTAACCTAGAGTCCACAACCTTGATATAGCATATTTTTACACGGTAAGCGTACAAGGGGTGGCCATTTTGTCATGAAAGTTTTGGTCCGATTTTCATGAAATTCGAACTCAACCATCATTTGGGTGTAACGGTAATATACTAAAACGTTTTTAAATCTGATAAAAATTGTGACCTCTAGAGGGACCACAAGTTAAAAGCGAGATTTTTCATGCAATCAGGGGCCATAATTGAGGAAGTTACGAACCGGTATGTGCGAAGGAACCAAGATCTTTGGGATATAAACATGCATTCCATGTTTCATCAAAATCAGATGAAAATTGTGACCTCTAGAGGGTCCACAACCTTAACCCTTCCTGAGCTAACCACTTAATACCCATAGAGGACTATACAAATATTGAGTAAAAATCAAGCTTTAGACCCTGTTGTGAAAAACCATGCATACCTTGAATATGAATGCGACTATAACTGTAAAATTGTAAATGTATATCCATTATATATGACTTGGGATTTTTGCATATTTTTAGTTTAGATTTTATGGTTACTATGGTTACCAGTGGGTTTCAAAATGGCTGCCATATTATTGTCATAAATGAAATATTGGATATTTTCTAGTCATTAAAAAATACAAGATGGTCGGAATAAAGCTATATGGATTATTAACATGATAGATCTCTTTTGTAAGAATAGGATAGGTTTTTGGGGAAAAGTCACTTAATTGTGATAATTTCTAAAAATAATAAAATGTAAACGAGCAGTATTGACAATGGTAGACAACAAAATATAAAAATCATCAGTAACAAGTTTTTATTAACAATAAAATAAAAATATATTAAATATTTGGAAAATAACAATAATATACCAAAATATTCACATTAGGGTTGCCATGGTAACCAATTTGACCATATCGTATACGTTTATATTGGCAGCGATCTACGTGCGCGACTATATAAAAGTACACGAATAATTTCCTCCGCAGAAGTCTTCCTTTTTTGTGTCTTTACTTTGTGACAAACATCTGAATTTTCATCAAAAGAAGAGTCCCCACTAATAGTATAGTCACTACCCGAATCCAATATAGACGTGACGTCATCGGGACTCGCGGCTAAATTCAGCCGTAATATTTTTGTTGTGAAGGACACCATTCCTCGGCTGTTCTGACTATTGATGGTTGTTCCGTCAATAGAGAGAGAGAGAGAAATGGGTTTAACGTCCACTCGACACAAACTAGGTCATTTTGGGACTAACATATGGTTTTAATTTTATTTCAATAATTCAATTGGGCGTAGGGGTCTTTAGCAGTGGGAGGAAACTGGAGGACCAAGAGAAAACCCACGAGGCTGGACAGGCGATCCTACTCCTTGCCACGTACAACAGGGGATTCGAAACCACACCAGTTGAATCAATGACAGGTCGTATGATACAGCACACACGTGATAACCATTCGGCCATCCAACCCCCCTCCATCAATAGAGGAAACCCCCTCGTAATAAAAACTTGTGTTATACACCATCTAAGGTTAAAACCATGCTTTTACAGGGGAGTAAACCAAGTTAAATAAAGTTAAATTAGCTCAGGAAGGGTTAATATACCATATTTTACACTATTTGCGTACAAGGGGAGACCATTTTGTCCGGCAGGTTTAGTCCGATTTTCACGAAATTCGAACTCAACCATCATTAGGTAGTAACGTTGATATATTAAAACGTTTTTTTAAAAAGGACAAAAATTGTGAGCTCTAGAGGGACCACAAGCTAAAAATGCAATTTTTTGTACAATCAGGGGCCATGATTCAGGATGTTACGATCCGATATGCGCGAATATCGAAAGGAAACAAGATATTTGGGTGATAAACATGCAATTCAAGTTTCATCAAAATCGGATCAAAATTGTGACCTCTAGAGGGTCCACAGGCTAAAAAGATGATTTTTTGTACAATCAGGGGCCATAATCCATGATGTTATGGTCCGATACATGCCAATATCGAAAGGAACCGAGATCTTTGGGAGATAGACCTATATTTCAAGTATCGTCAAAATTGGATAAAAATTGTTGATTGTGGAGTGTCCACATACAACTTGTGGACGGACGTCCAGACAGGGGCGACGACAATATACGTCCACATGAAAATGTGGGCATATAAAAAACGTGTAGGACCTAAGGGTCCAAACGATTTTATCCGAGTTGAGTGAAGATCTGACTTATACGAATCTGACTTATGGAGGTTTACTGTAATTTTATGTAATAAAATTTTGAATGTACAGAAAGGTTTATCATATTTTAAGTTCTGTATATTCAAAGGTGCATTAAAATAATACTTCAAGTATTCGAGGTACAATAATACTTCCAGTATTGAGACAACTGAGTATTCCGTCATGCTGTATAATCCGGCATATTGTATTGATGTCGGAAGTGACAGAATCCACAGTACATACACAAGCGTAAGCATTTTCTTTAATAAACAACAGAGCCAAACATCCAAAATTATATAACATATGGTATAATACTATTTGATCAAGATTAAAATCTGTTTTACAAATCTATAAACTTAAAAAATATTAGTGTTAACATCCAGACTGTACGTTGTGGAGCCGAATAGAAGACAGTTTATGTTTTTAAAATCATGTTGTTATTGTCTAGCATTTGAAATATTTATGATTCAGTCCAAACTGATTATATAGCATCTTCTAAACACCTAGTGGTTTTTCATGTGAGTGCATCAAAATGGTTCATACATTACCCAAAATTAATTTCAAAATACCTAAAGTTGTTAAGACATCAGAACTTTCCAGCAGTAGCTGTAAGCTCATATATACAAAACAATTGGTTACAAATCAATGTTCAACTTACCACCATTTTTGCTGAATTTACCAAATTTATTTCTTCTTGGTGAGTTTGTGCTTCTTTCTTTTTTCAGTTTCTTGACTAAAATAGGAAAGTTTCATTTGACATGTTATTGTTTTTGTTTATGTGTTGCCGATGAATTTTTATCAACTGTAAAGCAGAAAAATATAGTTTAAATACAAGCATTTTACGTAGAAAATAACCTGGCAGAATATCTGAGCTTAAAACTGATCAATATTTTACAGGGGCTTACTTACCGTTTGATGGAATATCAATAGCTTAGAGGGGTTATCGTAATGCAAATGGTAGAGTGTCTTCAAAGATAGGTTGCCAGGAAACAAAACATACGCCCACAGCAGCTAAATCGTCCGAGCAGTCAACCAGGGTTATCACATATTTATACTTTTGTAGGTAATTGGGGCATTTACAAGACAGTTTCATACAGATCAGATTATAATTTTTGACGTTTGAGGGTTCACAAGGTTCTACTTACTGAAACAAGGACCTTAACTCTGGAGGTAATTTACAGAAAATTTCAAAAATTTGACAGGCTTTTTCATTTTACTAATTTAAATAATGCATATAAATTTCATTCAGATCGGATAATAACTTTTGTCATTCAAACGTTCACAAGGTTCACAAAGTAAAACAAAGGTCGTAACTCTAGAAAAAATTAGACGGAAATTGCTGAAATTCAATAGACCTCTATTTCGTAAGTTTAAATGATGTATATAAATTTCATAAATTTCAACTTTCGTAAATCAATCTTACAAGGTTAAACAAGTTAAACAATATAAAAGGAGTAATTATTGTAAATTGCTGAAATTCAATAGGCTTCATGGTTTCACTAATCTAAATGATGCATATAAATTTCATACAGATCGGAAGATAACTTTTGGCGTTAGAACATTCACAAGACTCAACAAAGTGAAACAAGGGCCATAACTCTAGAGGTAATAAAAGGAAATTGCTGCAATTCAATAGGATTCTCCGTTTCACTAATTTAAATAATCTATATAAATTTCACAAAGATCGAATGATAACTTTTAGCATCAGAGCGTCTGAATTGCGCGAATATCGAAAGTGACTGAGATATTTGGGATTAAACATAAATTTCAAGTTTCGTCGAAATCGGATAAAAACTGTGACATCTAGAGGGCCCACAACCTTGGTATTACATACTTTTACACTATTTGCATACAAGGAGCAGCCATTTTGTCCCGCAGTTTCGGTCAGATTTTTACGAAATTCGAACTCAACCTTGATTGACGTTTAACGGTGATAACTTTCTTTAAAATTGAATACAAATTGTGACTTCTAGCTGGTTCATAAGGTACAAATGGGATTTTTCGAACAATCAGGCTATAATCCAGGAAGTTATGTTCGGATATGCATGATTATCAAAAGGAACCAAGATCTTTGTGATATAAACATAAATTTAAAGTTTCATGAAAATTGGATCCAATTTGTGGCCTCTAGAGGGTCCACAACCTTGATAAACTATATATTGTAGATGATCCATCTGGACCGACAGGGGCGACGGCATAATATGTCCACATGAAAATGTGGGCGTATAATAAAATATTTGTTGTGTTTTTGTTTTACTTATAATTTTGACGAGTTTTGGCCGTTGTCCTTTGTTTTTATGTTATGTAATGAAAATTTCCTGATCACGAAACAGTGTCTTGTAGAAGTAGAGCGCCGAAAGCAATCTGTATTATAACGGTGCAACTCCATTTATATTTGTATTTATGCACTGAATTTCAGTTTCAATAAAAATTTATTTGTTTCCTAATTATTTATTTTAATCCCTCTTAAAAGAAACTGCTTTAGCAGGCCAACCTTGAAACAAAAAAATTTTGGGTTCCATTTTATCCTTTCGAGCGATTTGACTCCGCTAGTCCCACATCAATATAATGGGGTTAAATTGGGTCATTCCAATTCTATTCTATCACTGTCAGCCACTTGTTTTTTGTTTTTTTTTCACTTTTGTTTGTGCGGACATGAACTATATTCCTTTATTATAATACTTTGTGCAGTTATCAATTGAATTTTTCGGACATTGACATGGCTTCTGGAAACAAAATTAAAGCTGTATCTAAAGAAACTGTTAAGAAATGGAGTAAGGAACTAAATGAAAACTACGGGTTTAAACAGCATTATTAATTAAGATTTGGAGGATTCGCGCAGATAGCATATGAGAATTCTCTTCGATTCTCGCAAAAAATGACGAATTTCTAGCTCTGCCGACAATGCAACATAATCCATAATCCCACAATAACTAATTTGTAGCATTTCTATTCTATTCATGGTAGATATGAGCATGTACAAGATACTAGAAACTGGGCTTTTTCGTATCATGGATATAAACTTTGAGGAGTTCACATGAATTTTCAAAGAGATCAAGGGCAATAACAGAGAATATAACCAATATTTCTAGGTTTACATGTACAGTGAGGGAAAGAAATTTTGCTTGGATAGAGTGTTTCCTTCTACTCTTCTGACAAAATCTTCAATGCCAAATCCGCCGATGACACGTGACATCAGTTGGAATTTCTAGGTCAATAAGCCAGCGATGCTAGGTTTAGTTTTAAGTAGCGTTTACCGTTATGATTTTTTATTTGATACACATGCTGGCAGAGGCTAAATATTAAACATATTGTCGTTATTATTATTGAAAACTATATGGCATAGTCGTACGGAATTTTATTTTAAAGCAATTTCAATTATGGTTGTCACGTGATCACTGTGCCGTGTGTCTCTCATGGACGAATGAATAAAAACATATTTGCAAGTTACGTGATAGACAAACAAAAACTACAAATTGTGTTATGAAAAATACCACGGTGCTGTATCATTTTATATCCATCCAAAAAACGAAGACAGTAATTTATTCAGGAATATTACTGACACGAATTTCAAGCCGGAACGTGAACATGGAAAATTTTCCGAACAGTGTAGCTGTAGGCCTACCTTTTATTAAAGGTAATGGAAGCTTATAATTTTAAAACCATTTCCTACGGGACCTCATTTGACTCAATTCTGGGCTATTGTGCTAACATTCTAGGGCGGGATAAGCGAGTTTATGCCAACGCCATTCCTCAACGTTATCGCCACCCGTCAAGTTTTTTTGTGTAACTGTTTGAAGTTGACCTAGTTTAATGAGAAAAACCGTAAATTATGTAGTCATGAATAGATTTGTTTCCATTAAATTGAAATGGAAGTTACTAAACCCTTAGTCCTTCTGTGGTGTACTGGCTTTATATGTACTTCCATTATTCTGATCATTCTGCGCTTCGCTTATAAATATTATTATTATTGGTTGGGCCTGCGTGTCACCTGAAGGACCCACATGATCACGTGCCACACAGGTCCTGCGGGCCTGTGCTTGGAAAATGTTTGTTTCGGACACTGGTTGTGTTGTTCACTTCCATTATTTTCAACATGAATTTTTTAACTATTTATTCATAAATATGAAACTTACTGCGTTTAGAATCTGTTTGATATGTCCAATCATTATCATTATCATCATGATCAGGTCCACTATCATCACTATCTCGTTTTAATGTACTGTTTGTAGCGATTCTACACAAATAAAAAAATACAGATATTATAGTCTTTAAAACAATGAACAGCAGCTTCATCAATCAAATTTTATAAAGAAAAGTCAAGTTTGGTAAAATAAAAATTTGAAATAGCTTTAAGGGTAGCCTACCCTTCATCAAATTCCAACTGGCAAGAATTGATTTACGTACACGGCAATGTGGGCTATACTATACATGTATACCGGAAAACACCGAAAAACACCATATTATACTGAATACCGGAAAAACACTAAATACCGGAAAACATCCTAAATAGGTAACTCGGAGCCTGGTCTTCTGGAAAACACAGGAAAAACCTAACCCCAACCAACTGCTGGTCCTCTGGAAAACACGGGAAAAACCTAACCCTAGCCCTAACAATAACCCTAACTCTCCGCAAACAGAAGACCAGGCTCTTTGTTACCTATTTAGGGTGTTTTCCGGTAGTTAGTGGTTTTTCGGTGTTTTCCGGTATTCAGTACAACATATATATAGTATTGCCGCGGCAATGTGTACACAGGATCTTGGTTTATTATCCCATCTGCACCACTAGATGCTGTTACTGCACAAAGGGTTTGTCAGATAGTTGACGACTAGAATGAAGATTTCTAAGATTCTCTCCCATATAAAACTAACCAATTTTATCCACTTAAACATCTGAGACAATTCTTGTTGACAGTATGTGTGCTTTGTTTATGTTTTGATGTGTGTATTGTATCTTTAACTAATTATTAGATTCACACATTGTATTGAAGATAGAAGTCATATCTCACGCACATAAATTAAAATGAGTGATGGATTGATATATAAAAAGATTTACAAAACCAAAACATAGCTGATTCTGGGTCAAACCAGAATATCATGTTCATCACTATTGGTGGAAAATTCCTATTGCATCATTTGGCTTAGTAACCAATCATTATATTTAATTACATTATATTTGACCAATTAGAAAATTGAAAGCCGAAACCCAAGGGTATAAAACGATCAGAGCAATGACCGTCGACAGACAGCCGCTAAATTCGGAAAAATACCGCCAAGGTTCATGAGACGCAAACTGGGATGATTAGACCCCACTGATTTATAGGAGAGCCGTATGATGTAGGCATTCCGTCAGTAAACTCCATCTGCAAATTAAGTATTGTAATGTAACCTAAGCTTGTAACCTATCCAGTGCTTGATATAAAATGTAGAAACAAACTGAAGCATTGTTATTCCTGGTAGACAAACATCTTAGTGGTGGAGAAAATACACAACGTGAAAAGTAGTCCTAAGACTAAGAAGAGAACAAAAAACAAATATAACCAGAGACAATACTAGACGAACACAAGGATATTAAAATATGTAGCAGAAGAGAGTGTCATTCGTTAGATGTGGAGAGTTTTTGTTGCTTTGTACTTCCCAAATCTAGCCAGCGACTCATGGCACTGCATAGTGTTACATGTGCAGTTTTCCTGACTACCGTATACTCTATAGTATTTAATACCAACCTTCTACTAGCTATTCTAGAACTATTTCTACCCATTCCCATACACTTCTCTAGATGAGGAGCAAACCGTGATGCTGCAAGATGGCGCTGACAATTTGGACAAATACACTCAAATTGTTTCTTGGTTGGTGCCTGGCCAAACACATCCAATCCTGGCTTTTCAACAACTTCTATAATATAAAATCATATAACATAGAATCTACAGATATATAAGTTTTAACAATAAGCAGCTTGTTATAAACGAGATTTAGGCATGTCAAGTACATCATAGATTTTCCAAGAGACAACAGTTGGAACAGGCTCAACGCTTTTCAAAATGTCGCCCTGAAAAATTAAAAGCAAAAAAAATTAGGCAGAAAAATATTTGGACGATTTGGAGTTGGTCAATTTGCTTAAACAGGCATTATGTAAGAGATAAATCTGCCTATTGCAAGTCGTTCTTTGGGCCTTAAATGTTATCTAATTATTAATTAAACATTTTTTAACATGACAAGACCATAATCAACTACCAACGCCATCGGATGGCGCCGATTTTAAGTAGATTAGAACAATTCGACAATTTAATGATTTAATTGAAAGATAGGTTGCCAGGCAACGAAACATACGCCAACAGCAGCTAAATCATCCGGGCAGTCAACAAGAGTTGTAACATATTTTTACTTTTTTTGGTAATGAAACATTTATAATACACTAAAATCTGATTAAGAGTAACAACTCATTAAGTAATTATCAGAAAATCATTAGAATTTGTTTGGTTTTTATAAAGTTCTGCCCCATGCTAACATTTAGTATACAAAACATTTAATATCATGGATTTAGCTGTTCAATTTATCAAAATTCATTGAAAATCAATATACTTGTTTGTCTCAAGACCTTAAACTCTGTGTACCAATCTGAAGGCAATCGGATGATAACTTTAGCCTCTAGAGCGTCACAAGATTTTTCAAAGTGATCGAGGGCCATAACTTTGGCAGTAATTATCGGAAATCGTTGAAAATCAATAGGATTCTTCAGCTCATGACCTCAAACACTGCCTATACATTTAAATTCAATCGCATATTAACTTTAGCCTCTAGAGCGTCCACAAGATTTTTTGAAGTGATCAAGGGCCATAACTCTGGCAGTAATTATCGGAAATCGCTGAAAATCAATAGGCTTCTTCGTCTTATGACCTTAAAGACAGTGTAGAAATTTAAAATCAATCAGATATTAACTTTAGCCTCTGTACGTCCACAAGCAATTGTGGACGCCGGACGCGACGACAATATACGACTACATTTCAATGTGGGCGTATAAAAATGGAGAAGCGAGGCCAAGACCCGAATGATAAGTAATTTGAATGAAATTTTCAATATATTCATTTTGCATTATCTATTTTTGAAATATTATAGCAAGAACGACCAGCTCTTTATCTAAATCTTACATAATGAATCTTTTTTTATAAACAAAGCAATTTTGAAGATTTTGAAGAAATACCATATTTTCAACATGCCTATCAAGCAGTATATTGGCTGCTTCAATAGCTTTTAAATTTATACAAAACATTAAATTGTATGCCCGAAAGGTGTGTTTTCAAAATTGAAAAATATCCAATCATAAAATTTGCATCTGATATAATTTTCTAATGAGAAACATAGCAAGAGTAGACAGATTGAAGGAGTATTGTAGTCACCAAATGCCAGTGATTGATTAAAGGTAATCAAAGTATTAGTATGGTCACATCCCTCGTCATTTGGAACGCTGTGCCACTTTTCCGGTATGACTTATTAACTATTTTGCTAATTACCAAGTTGTCTAGATATTCCACAACACAATTTTCAATACTACTGCAAAATTATATTCAAGATTTAATGGAAATGTCATTGCCACGCAACTTTATAAAATTGAAACCATTATGCTCACTGCCTTTAATTTTATTACCCATCTACAAGAAGGTACTAAGTGATTACGTTTCTAGTGTAAGGAAAGATTTGTAATATAAGAATCTTCAATGAAAAAAATGGAATTAAACAGATGGTTTAATGGATCCATGTGATTTAAAGCGTCGACACATGGATCCAAAATTTTCACAGTCTACAACAGAATACAAAACAGAACAGCTGTATTCATTCGCAAAAAAAAATAGTACCTAAAATTCATGTACATTATATAGGTTTAAATGTCAAATGAGGTCAAATGAATAGAGACGTCTTTAATATATACTAAATATTCGTATCATCCCAAATCGACAATAAAACAGTGAGAAAAAGGAAAATCTAAGTAATGGCAATCTAATTAACATAAAATTTACGACATAATCGATTCTTCAATGTTTTGATGGTGATCATGAAGAAAATACATCTGTTCTCAGGAATCCGATAAGATTTTCAAAAAAAAGATCACTAGAATTATAGATTGTTATTCCACAAAATCGAAAGGTATGTTAGATTTTTCATTCAGTCAAGTTAGAGCGAGTTTATTGCCGTCCTTTGAGCTCCAAACCCGATAGAAATGAAGGCGGAAGTGGCCATAATAGTTTTAGAGATCACTACGTGATGGCGCTCCTGCGTCGCGACAAACGGGGCCGATTTGTCTAGTTATAACAAATAGACAAGAAAATCTGGGATACAAACCTAATTCTTTGGAAGATCTGAAAGTAGAAAAAACATACAAATTATTACCAGCAATTAAACAATAAAGTTATTCTTAATCAGGCCAATATGATTAGCCTAATTTAAATGTATAAATGTTGAGGTTATGTCAGAGCAATAATTGCTGCAATAATTGCTATGCTTACTTGGGATCTGTATCAGAAATAAATAATGTGCCAATTTTACTGGCACGATGAATTTCAAAACATAAACCAAGAGATACTTCATCTATTAATTCATTCATAATATCATCCATTGCCAACTGAAATATATATAAAAAATCAATATACAAGTTTCATTGACGAATTACGTATTTTCTCCAGATAGGACAAATCTATTGGCTCAACTTATTGAATTGTCAACCAGTACCTCACTCTTGACTCTTTAAGAAGAGAAAGAAAATATTGCAGAAATAAAAAAAATTAAACAGGCCGGTTATCTCTACCATGACTAAGATGACTGACTTTTGTCCTATAAATTCATGGTCACTGACCTCATAAACGCTAAGACAATCACTAAACTATTAAAAACCTTTTATATCTAAATCCATAATAACTAAAAAAAAAATCTTTTTGTTTGCATTTTTAGGGGCTCGTTCCACAAAACCAAAACCAACCGGCTTCTCTGTATTATCAATACATGACAGTGGCACAACAAGCTCATTTTGATTGTCAATATATTTTAGATAATCAGCAAGAGTGTTGTTATTTTGATCCTTCATTTTTCTTGCTGTCTAAAAGCCTATATCTGGTGGGCCTAATACGGATTAATCATCGAAGGGCCCCAGAACCAGTCAAACCCGAAGAAAGGGGCCAGTCCAAGATGTACAACAAAACGGTTCGATTGGCCAACTATCACTGTCTTCCCTTCTCCTGGATTCTATGAGGGGGTGTGCCGTATATACCTCCAACTCAACGTCCTCTTCCATAAACAACAAATCAGATTCAATCATGTCCGATCTGCTGTCAAAACACCAAACTGTTTGCAGAAAATCATGCACCATAAACCGCGGAAGTTGGTGTATATTGTTGTGCGCTGTGAGAATGCGCGCGGGAAGGTGACAGTAAATTGGATTGCCTCCCTTAAACTAGGATACTACCCACTTTTGGTTTTCCCCAACTAAATCATAAGTCTGAATACTAACGTCTTATTTTTTCTAGCCTATTGGTGTTACGAAAAATATAGAACACACAAATTGGTAGCAAAGAAAAAAGGGAAGACCTGCGAATGAAACCCGCAGAAGATCAGATTTGCGGAGAGTCTATTCATTGCATTGCCCTGGGAAAAGAAACCCAATCCATCTTGTTTCGATCAAAATTTTCATATAGGCTATCTCGATAGCTGACAAATTTTGAATGAATAAACTTTTCTAAATGTAGAAGTGGTAATTTGAGAGCCATCAGAAAGACTAGACTATGATATGCCTATTACCGGTATATGAAAATACACTGTTTTGGAAAACTTATAACACCAGAAACACAAATCCAGAGAGTTCCAAGCAAACAAAATGTTTGCAAGAATCCGATTTGGGATCAGATGAAAATTCTGATAATTGTCACGTAAATGCTATATTTATACTAACAATTGTGAAGTTGACATAAAATTTAATATGGGCAAAAACACCCGATGCCTGCCTTCATTCTCGGCAAAGAATATGGCATTGGTTGGATTTTGATTTCAACCAAAATGCAGAAAACATAATGGACAAGGGAATATACAGAAATTTGGAAATCCATTAACGTAATGGTGAGTTATTTCCATTTCTGTCAATTGTCTGCAATTGAGTTTCAGGTGCGTGTTGACTACCGATGTTGTACTATGACGCAGAAGACCAGGGTCCATATTCAAAGGTTTTCTTAAAGTTAAGTAAAAATACTTAATTTTTCCACTTAACCAAGTGTCTTACCTTAAATCTGTTTTCAAAGGCTCTATTTTACATATACTTGCAAATTGGCTATGTGAAATCTTAACTGCATACTTAAAATATGGAATACCAACATTAGCCAAAAAGCATGAATTTTTAACTTATGGAATAACCTAAACTGCCAAAAATAACAAATTACTCACTTCGCACGCAAGTGATATACTCTATTAAAATCTTAGTTGTCATTACTTACTAGGAAAATATTTGTCGAAATATTATATTGTAACGCACGAAAATAGTATATGACTATAATTTATGATAAATTATGATTGTACGCATCCGTTACCGGAACAGCTGTTTGCGTATAGATGTTTTTTTGAAAACAATAGATTTCAATAGCAGTAAGTTATCGAATAGTGGTAGTATAATGATGGATATTGTAAACTTTATTATAACGAATAGAAAATTCCTATACTTTAGAATCCCAAAGGCCTCGTCATGATGGTACACTGTAAATCATTGGTGGCACGCTTCGGTCTGCAGTCATCATCATATATTTGTAAATTTATAAAAACGAAGACAAGAACATGTAGCAATCAAAACTTCAAATATGTATATGGGAATGAATTGTAAAAAATAAACCATGCCTTGCTTTCCGCGGCCGTATTAATATTTTCTGAAATCTGCAATGGAATGTCATCGCAATGCCAAATTTACAAATAAATTTAACGCATCAAACTTTATTATATGACAGTCGTGGCAAATATGATTGATTAAGCAATACGAACATGATAGATGATCGGGGAAAAAAACCTTGACCATTTCGGTGCTAGTAATCTCATACACAAAATCAAAACTGATGATGAAAAAAAAAACAACCCAAAAACGTTTGATGCCACCAGCTACGCTCAGCGACATTGTCTTTGTTTCAATCTTAATTCCCTAACTTTTAAAATCGCCATTACGGGCCTGCTACTACATTGTGTACTCCGGTTAAAAGAAGTCATTATAATCTTACTTAACTTTAAGGTACATGTATATTCCATAGGTCACTTAAAGTTAAGTGGCTTTTTCTCACTTAAACTGGCTTTTTAATACCACTAAAAGACTATAAACACTTATAAGTTAAGGCAGCTTTTATAAAGAGTTGGTCATTCTTGATAAAATAATTCATTAATAGATAATAAAAAAAGAAAATGTTGAAAATTTCTGTCAAATTACTTTGTTCCGAACGGATTTGTCACTATTGGAAGCTTGTACTAGAAATAGGCATAAATTGTGTCTGCACCATCTATGAGAATTGGCGATCGTTTGATTGACAGACGATAACTACACCCACATATTTTCGATTATTAAGTAACATGCTCAATGGCTATGGTAGCCTCGCTTGGCAGGCCTTTCATCACCAGCTTCCGGTAGTGACATCAGCGACTAACAGTAAACGTTAGCTTGGTGTCATTTATTGATTTAATTTTAAATGAACAACTGTTTAATCCAAACTGTATCCATGCCATCCGTGGGTCTAAAGAGTTGATTTTGAGCTTGTCATGTAAATAAAGGTCTAATTAATAATTTCTATAACATCTGAAGCCTAAATAAAGACTTGCAATAGGCAGATTTAGCTCTTGCATAATGTATGTTTAAGTGAAATCTGGTAGTTAAGTGACTAACTTAGACTTAAGATATCTTTTGGATACGGACCCAGGGGTTAGGACACAAACCCAATATTTATATCGTTAACGGGGTCCCGTGGACCTGCAAGGGTTGGTGAGCGGGTGTTTACCCAGAAATTATGAGCGGAGCTCCTAGACTGATGATCAAGGAGATATGTTTGACATTGGTTGAGCAATATGGTTATGAAGTAATGGAGACCAGAATCTATCCGTAGTTTTGTAAATCGCATTGAAACCACGTGATTTTTTCCACTAAAATATAAACCCACACCCACATACCCTTTCAATTAGACCCTACATTATTCTTACTACAGGTAGCTGTAAACCGCTAGTTCAGATATTTAAGGCCAAATTACAAACATCTCAACTGAAACCGTATCAATAATTGTGTAATTTGCTAAATATAGAATATAAGACAAAAACTAATTAATTTATTGAAGTAAAACAATCATTGAAAATCAAAATTACGCCGTTACCCTTCACTTTAAATGTCATCAAAGTTACGGGAGATCAATCCCTGGAAATCCCGGTAAGTGAGCCAGCCCCTTACTGAGTCACTGTTGCACACTGATGCCACTTGCATGGATAACAGCAATACTAGTTGTACACGTACAATTCCCCCCCCCCCCCCCACACACACACACCGAACTAAAATGTATGGCATATGCTCATCTTCATTATACAGGTTCGAGCAGAACAGTAAGACATTAAACTCCATTTGATTTCTTTTCTCTTCATTACAATGTTGTCACTCCCATTGCAATATTATTTAGTTTTGGCCATTCTATTTTAGTGAGAAAACTAAATATCTGTAGATGCTATGTTTCAGTTTTAATACTTGTTAGAACTTTAGCCTCAACTCCTATCTGAGCAAAGGTTGAACTTATAAAGTCCCTTATCCGTAGTTAAATCCTATTCAGTTTATCGAATAAATTCTTTGAACAAAAAATACTGTTATTGATATTTTCCATGACGGGAGATAACTCCTTTTACCGTAAATGGATTTCCAAAATTCCGTATGTTCCCTTGTCCATTATGTTTTCTGTATTTTGCTTTAAATCAAAATTTAACTTAACCAATAGAATATTCTTTGCATAGGTTGAAGGCATCGTGTGTTTGGACCAATATTTAAGTTTATGTCAACTTCACAATTGTTGGTATACTATAAATATAGCATTTACTTGACAATTATCACAATTTTCATCTGGCCCGAAATCGAGTTATTGGAAACATTTTGCTTCGAACTCTCTGGATTTGTGTACCTGGACCTTGTAGGGAGTAGGGAGGACCTTGTAGCGGAACTTCATGCTAGACATTTTGGCTGCAGGCCCAGGTGGCGTGTCTCTGATATTTAGAATGATTTATGTGCTATGTCATTTTCTGTACACAGAGCAGTCATACAACCCTTACTAAAAATATGGATAGGAAAACGAGTTTGATTGAAACAATAACCAGGCACGGTAAACAACAACATTTTATTCGATCTGTTAGAAAACACGACTGTCACGTAACAGTAGTCAGCCACGGCGCTGCTGCCCGTACAAAATGAGCACTGTAATGCTAGATATATGTTGTAAAGCAGAGTGACGGGCGTTTCTGCCACAAAATATTTAAGGACTCAGGGGTTAAACAGGTGCTGTAAATTGGGGATAACTAGGGTTTAAACCTTTGTCGCCGAAATGAACATTCGAGGCTTAAATACATTCTTTCTCTCCTTTTTGGGTGTCCTCACAGACTCTTGGCTTATTAGGTATTCCACGACATCCGTTCCAATATTACAAATAATGAAATAAATTTGTCTATAAGGAGGTAAACGGCAACCCCTTTTAATGACCTCCATCATATACACGTAGCATACCATAAGATGCGCATATTCTGGAAAGTGGGCCTTTATGTCTCCTTGCTGTGGGTCATAAATTTACCGAACGGTAAAAACGGGTTGCCGTTTACTTCCTTATATAGGCTGATTTATTTCGTTATTATTACCCCTTCTACGTCGCGATTACTCTTTTCAGAACATCTGTTATTACTTTGTCATTGCCAGTTATGTTTTTCCTGTGAAATCCATGTATAGACTCATGTTAAATTAATTCGTAATTTTTTTATTTATGTAGATTGACTTTGATCAGGATCGATGGTACTTCCATTGGTGCAATTACCATGTAAATACAATTACCATCAATCAAGTTAACGAGATATTATTCAATTTGTAGATAAAAGTTATTTTTTATTTTCTGCTTTAAATAAAATAATTGTAAAACATTCGTTACTAACAACAAATAACATATTCATCACTCATTAAAATCAAATACAATATGTACAACAAATTGTTATTTAATAATAAGTATTCTCAAATAATATCGTACACAGTACACACAAATTAATAATAAATCTAAAAAATACATCTATGCCGGTGTTTGTGTAAAACATTTTCTCCATTGTGGACTATTGAAATTCCACGGTTATGGCCAGGGATTTGATCACCCAAAAAGAAATGAAATGGGGTTTAAAGGACAATATTGGTGCCAGTCATTATCACATATGTGATAGAGCTGGTTAAACACATTCCAAATTATTAGTGAACAGAAATTCGCCCGTATATCCGTTATCACTCGTCACATCAGTCAGTTATATAGAGAGATGACTTGTGTTTTCCTTTGGCGTTCGTCACTTCCGATTCAGGAAACATGTATTACTCAGCTATCGTAGCAATGATCTCTGTGTTAAAATTATATTTGGAATGTGTTTAACTAGCTCTATCACATATGTGAAAATGACTGGCGCCAATATTGTCCTTTAACACCCTATACTGTTCTGCTCCGCCTGGTCTAATGAAGACGGGCATACGGCATACAGTGTGCTATGAGGGATATTTTACCAAGGGACCTTTTACGTGCAACACGCCAATATGTACACGGGACCTCTGTTTTTCGTCCCATCCGAACGACTATACGTGGTCTCTTGCTAGACCTTCGGCTCTGCATCACTGACAAGGAGGAACCACGCCGGAAAATGCCAATGGACTTTCTCGGCCAAAGCAGGGATCGAACAAGGGACCTCCAGGTTAGCGAGGAAACATCTTACTCGCCGAGCCACAGTGGCCCCTTCATCTAAAGGCGTTTTACACAAATCGCCAATGAGAGTATAATAAGGTGACAGCAATGACTTCCAAAATAAAGTGATAGGAGCAGTGGTCTTCTGGTCACAGCAAGCAGGGGAGGGGCAAGATTTTGTAACTGCCGCAACCCCAGCCAGCACGTACGTAACTGGATTGTTAATTATTAAATGAACACAGAAACACAACAAAATAAACAGGCCTAAAGATAATTAATATCTGAACAAATGTTATTTTTAAGTAATGGGCCTATATTAAATTCAACATGAACTGAACTTTTGATTGAACTTTTATTACTTAATTCTCCTTTTAAAAAAATATAATCAAAATAATGGAGACCTGTTGCCATACTGATACTAATTTTGTGATTATGATGATGATTGAAACCAGAGAAAATACATGAATATCACGTATTTCACTTATTATTTCATTTAAACTGTGGATATGATAAACTTGGGATTTTCCTGGCAAGCAATCCCAGGGGTAAACATGTAACTCTCTGGAGTTAAGCCAGCGGTAAACGTCAAGGCTCAATAAATTGGATATTCATCTGAAGTGTTTGTCCAAAACTCAAAACTTGACGCAGAAAAATATTGCTATACCTTATTAATATTTTTAATTTTATTTTTAACCCAAGCTCCAAAACGATATAGATGATTATGTGTATATACGAATATAAAATGGGTTAGTATGCTGCCTTGATAAATTAATATAAATGCAAAACTTAATCCAAAAAGAATGTAACAGGAGTTGGGTGGAATGAGGCCGATGTGCTTAATTATACGATGAAAAATATTTAATCAAAATATACCCATCAAATAATTTGACTATTTGAGACAACCTGTATTATAGGAACTAATATAGTTTACATATTAATCGATTTATAATAAACACTTATATAGGCCTATCTCAATGAAGGTGTTTAAATATTGAACACTTACACCCCAAATAACAAACTACCGTTAACAACACTGTTAAAGTAGTAGAAAATAATTCATCAAAAGTAGTATGAATGAATAAAATCGTTTTTACTCGACCACCATTTTGTTTTAGCCATTTTGAAGTCTGATCAGATCTAAACACAAGTCCGTCGCCATTTTAGTTCTTATACTATATTGTCTTTAGCAAAGGTCGCAGAGCTAGTCTAGGATAAAAAAAATTGTTCTCGTTCATTCTTACAGACATTAATCATGCACAGTATACATTCGCACATCACACCGTTCTCCGTTATGCACAGTCGTCGCTATAGTAACAAGTCTGTGTTACTATGGTTAACCGTCACTCTATCTTGTTTCTATGGTTATCTGTCGTTACTAATACTAAATCAACGTTTCTGTATTTACCAATGTCCATGGCAACAATACAGTAAACAGTTCCTGGATTTTACAGATATACACGTGGTTGCTATGACTACAGAAAATCACATTAGACTAAAGTTGCATTGAGAAAACGTTTGCGGAATAATGACGATAAATAATGCCCACTATGTTCTCGTTAGTTTCTTAGGTTATTTTTTTTTAGTTTGTTTTATTCAAGGAACCTGCCTTTTTAACTATTAACCATTTTTATCAGACTACCTGGGACACTAATATTGGCACCAAATCCATGTTTCTATTCTAACGTTTTTAATCAGCTTACGACCCGATAATGATACAACTGTATTATGGTGCCTGCAAGTTCAAACAAACGGCGGCTCGTATCGGTTCTTCTTGCGTGTAGTTGTGTTGATATATCAAAGGCCAAAAACACGTTCACAAGTAGAATTAAATCTCCTCACAAAGGATTCTATTATAGAACTTTATGAATCTCCATGTTTTTTCATCTTTGGACATACTGTTTGATGGACACTAATTAAATCTTCTAGGTGTTCCTTTTCGTTTTGAAGTTTGGCAATTTCAGCTGAGATTCGAGATTGTTTATTCTCTAGTCGAGCCACAGCCTGCAAGAAAAAACACACATATATATTGATAAAATGCAAAAAACAACCCCCCAAACAGATACTAAAACTTTAGTTCATTAAAATTGAATAGTAAAAGACAATACAATGGTGGGAGAAGAATCTTTATCCCTTCAAAATACGCTTTTGAAAGCAAAAAAAAAATTAAAACTAATGTTCAAAACGTTCTTGTTGCTAGTTGTCAGAAGTTAAGATAGCATTAAGGATGACTTACCCCTTCTAGATTGTCTGCGCGTTCTCGTTTCTTTCCACGACATTTCTGGGCAGCAACTCGGTTTTTTTCTCGACGAAGTTGTCTTCTTTCTTCTTCTTCGCCAGTCAACTGTAAATGATGAAATACCCAGTGAATTAAAGGTCGTTTTTTCAAGAAAACGAAAACTTGCGTTAGTCTAGTAGATCATACGTTTTGATGAAATGAAGTATAAACGTACCGTTCATTCTTTCGGTTAAAGTCATCATCTTCGCCACTATCAACACTATCATCCATTCATCTATCACAATATATCTATCCTTTACCATTCATATCTTCTGTTTGTTGTCAAAGAAATACAGATTCAATCAACACTTCTCCCACTCCAATCCATCCATCCAAAGATACCCCTCTTTACTCTAATCAGTACATTCATAGCCATACAATCTCAAATTTATCTATGGAATCATAATGCCAAACTCTGTCTTCCGATGTCCTCGTCCCATTCTTTCATTAATTCAGGCATTCATCAAATCGTTCGTATAACCTACTCATTAATACCTTCCAATTTAAATTCACCCCTGGTATCCATAATGATCATAATGTGTCATTCAATGTCCTTATCTCATTCATTCATTCATTTATTTATTCATTTAATACTTAATAAACATTCTTTCCACACTCATTTGCAACACCATTTACCGTACCATCATCTATTCTACAGAATACAAGGCTGTCATTTTCATTCGACTGAATTGAGACACGGTCTAGTGTTACTGGCACGTAGTTACAACATAGCCCTGGCCAGCGCTTGACAAATAGTATCCAATTTTTTTTAAAAAAAAATTACGAAGTCCCACCCTGTCTAAATACCATACACAATCAACTTCCCCACCAGAAGTAGGACACGGTGTATTTCGTTTAAAATGACACACAATAACTATTATTAATTTTTAAAAAAATGATCTTACCATTTCCTCCTTAGCTTCAGCTGCAAAATCTACAACAATATCTTCCTGACCTGAGGCGTGACGTCTGGACCTGATTCTATGTTTTAACTCCCCTTTTACTAAATCTAACATTGGATCTTCGGTCTGACGTTCTTCAAAAGGCAGAACATTGCTTACTTGGGAGTCATTGGTCGACGTATTTGACGAGCTGAGTTCAATAATGTTATCAGTCCACATAGGACCGACGTCCTCTGAGTAAAAGACGTTACTGTTGTCGTCATCATAAGTCAGGAAGTCGATGTTATCAGCTGATGTGGATGGGACTTCGGATTGGCTAATATCTTTCCCGGCCATGATGCTGTGTAGCAAACGCTGGGCAATAGTATCTTTCATATCTACTGTAATTAAAATTAGATAAAATATTAGCGGTTGTGTTCTCATTATACCTCTAAATGAATGTGGGAATAGCCCAAGGCTAATTTTTGTGGGATAAGCTTAAGATATTTCACAATACTTTAAAATTCACCAGATGTTCATTGCACACCTTCCATTGACTATTGACGACAAGATTTGATTATCTGATAATGTGAAATTTTGGGTTGGGAATAAAGTTGTACTCAGTAAAGCTAATGGAATTAAATATTTTGGTCGTAGCTTTAAATTGAGAAGGATAATCTGCGAGATTTTGAATTGCATTTGCCTATATTATAATGATTTTACTGGAAAACTATGACTAACATAAGTCCATTAATGACAAAGACTGGTAATTGTAGTAGTCATGGTAACTAACCAGTCTTAAATGTTGATGAGTCAGCAATTTATCAATGACTGTTATATTGGTTACAGATTATTAAGATAATTTTCCACGTAGCTTTTGGCACTAACTTTTCTGACAACTTCAAGAATATCCATAATACCATTCAATACAGATGGGTAGCTTTAGGAAATCTAGACTGCTCCAAATACAGTCAAGATATCCCCCATTCACAATTCCCAATCTCGGATACCCAACTGTCTGCAAATACCTCCCAAAAGGCTTAATATAGAAATTTCTCGGGACATGTGCTACATTATACATTTTATTGCATCGCCTGTGTTACAAAAACAAATCTATTTTGAATTAAGCAGATGTAATTATAAAACTAATCTATTGTCACTGAATATTTGCCAGATTATAGGTGAATTGTTTTCAATTGAGAATTGACAAATGTTTGTTATACTTTCATATTGCCAAAGATTATCATGAATATTTAACCATTCATTATACAATGTCAAGATATTCCAATTATGTTTGATAATAGGTATCGTCCCCATTCAGCTAAGATTTGATATTAAATTCACCGACTCTAGCCAACTAGCATCTTTGGTGCTCGCTTCACTTCTCGTGGGCATCAAAACTCGACACCCCCCTTCCCCAGCAAATTCATGGATATGCCATGGATTCAATGGCTGTATACGATAAAGGTTTGGTTGAACAATTGCAGTCATTAATTCACATTATATACAAAAGTAGTGACACGTCAGGTCATGGCTATAAGTAAATTCAATATGTTCGTGAGGTATAAATTATACCAAATCAAATAGAGATCTATTGATCAATCTCGGTCATGGTGAACAGCAAATCATGTGGGTTAATATATAACCCTATATAGTTATATGTACAGACATGTATACTGCTCATCAGGCCGTAAATTCCCGAAGGTAATCATAACTTGAGTAAAGTCCGAGACCGGTATGGTGCGGTGGTTGAAAATATTACCGTATGAACAACTTTATCTCTGTTTCTTGGACGGGGTGTAATATTTTTCTTTTTTTTCTTTTTTTTGGGGGGTTTAAAAAGTATTCAGACAAATCATTATTATAACATATGTTGGTCCAAACAAGTATGAAAATGATCAATTCCAACTTTAGTTAAGTACATTTCAAGTTTACATCGGTTTCCATACATTACACACTGTCGCCTTTATTTATTATCAACTTTCATCTATGCGACCACGTAAAGAAGAAACCGAGCCATTCTAAATTACAATAACTAACACAATGACAAGGAAAACGTAAGAGGAATGAGGAAAGTCATGAAGAAAAAGAATATATAACCTATATAATATGATAATATGTAGAGATTGTCTTAAACTGTAATTTAGTATATTGTAATCCTTTCATGAAACCCAATTAAACCTTGGAATTAAAGAGAATTACTCATTGAGAGCTTAAAGAACGTTCCCATCCCTTTAAATACTATTAGACATTTTATAGACCTTTGTAATGTTAACAAGCCAACAGTGAGGCTGATGTCCCCCGCCGAAATCCCGAAATAAACAGATGACACATATTAATTAATTGCACGTTTATCTTTTTCAAAAGTATCGAGCAGTCAAATTGATTATCAGCTATACACTAAGTTTCATCACTCTCTATCAGATAGAATCAAAGTCAAAGAAATTGCTTAGCTCTGCTGAGCTTTACCGGGAAATGTTAATCATTGAACTCAGTCAAGACATTCAACTTAATGGACATCAACATCAAGTTTAAACATTTTACCTCAATTAAAAGCAGAGTTGTTGTGTTCCAAAGTCTTGACCAATCAAATTGCTTATCGCTCCTTAGCCTAAGCAGAACGTTCTCATCAAACTTAGTCATGGTAATGATATAATGAATCTATACTCCGAGTTTCATAGCTATCACTTAATTATAACCAAAGTTATCGTGCCCAAACGTACCAACCAATCAAATAGCTCCATCAAGGCATCGACCCAATAAACACCTACACCAAGTTTGAACATTCTAGCTCAATTAGAAGGAGAGTTATTGTGTCCAAAAGTCTAGACCAATCAAATTGCTTATCGCTCTCAGAAAATGTTAATTATCGAACTTAGTCAAGGTATTGATGTAATGAAACTATACACCAAGTTTGATCACTCTCACTTAATCAGAACTAAAGTTATCGTGTACCAAAGCATCAAAACAATCAAATTGCTTATCTCTGCTTACCCTAAGCAGAAAATGCTCATCTTCAAACTCATTCAAGGCATCGACCTAATAAACACCTACACCAAGTTTGAACATTCTACCTCAATTAGAAGCAGAGTTATTGTGTCCCAAAAAGTGTGACGGACAGACAGACAGGCGGACGAACCCATTTTAATAGTCCCCTGCTTTCTTCGAAAGGCGGGGTCAATAGTATTATGTACTGTAAATCATAGAGATGAAATGAAATGGGGTTTAGCGTCCTACAGTTCTGCTCCGACTAGGATAATGTAGATGGGCATAAGCCATGCAATGGGCTATGAGGTACATTTTGCCGGGACAGCGGCGCTACAGCCTGCACTTATATCGAATTCCAACTGCCAATGGATCTTTTACGTGTACGCCAATGTGTACAAGGAACCTCGGTTTTTCGGGCTATCCGAACGACTAGACAGCTGTCCTTGTCAGGCCCTCCAGCCTGCACCACTGTCAAAGGGAGAACTACGCCGGAAAACCCGATGAACTTTCTCGGTCAACACCGGGAGCGAAGTAAATCATAGAACTCCGGATGCAACAAGGTTGTCTGTTAATCTCATCACAGACATACGCGCCATCCTCCCCCGCCCCATTACCGCAACAAAAATGTGGGGCTCTATTCGTACATGATGAGACCGATTATTTCCGTTTATGATGATAATTACATAATATATACCATCTGGCAGTGTCAGAGGTGAACAATATTATCGCCCACAACCCATATTCTTGTAACCTTGAGGGGAAACTGCTTTAAAATAACCCGGATGTCATTAACCGGGAATAATGTGACATAATGAACTTACAGTACAGTTACACGCTCGATACTTTATAAAAAGATCTATGAATCAGCAGTTTTATAGCTGTTTGAATGAAAGGTATTTAACTACGACACTCCAACATCCTTTATTTGACGTGAACATCCAAACCACACAAAGCCTGTTACAAGTGTAAATATTTCTAACTGCAGTTGATACGCTTCATCTATGTAATTCCTTTCAATAAAAGCAGGTCATTCAACCGCTTGCTTTAGTTATTTTGAAACTAACAAGGTCATTTGTAAATAAATCACCCACCTCCCATAAAAATTAAATCTTCAATAGATGAATTAAAAACGAATAAAACAGTAATTTGCTGTCTCTGTAAGATCTTGCCATTTCAGGATACCGGTGTCACGCAGGAGGCAGGGTATGCTTACTTCTTTCGGAGTATCTGATACTATTTATCATGGGGCTTATCTGTGATTGAGTTTGTCTACGATATCACCCTGGGTGGAAGTAGACGTAAACCTCCAGAAACGAACGAACGAATGCGTTTGAGACGATGCTCTGTGACGTGTTCAAATTGTTGACCGTATAATTTTCATCTTAACGTACAGGTGAATTATGACACTTGGTGTATTAATTTTGTTAATGTCGTTATACGTTTTACAGGTTTCAATAATACAGGAAAATCCTATCTTGCTGTCAAAATAATTAATTGAAATTTCGTATGTTATTGTGACCATAACTGGAACTCTCACACCATGCTACACCCCATAATTATTTGGAATTGCGAATTATTATATCGTCTGACAGAAAAAAGCCACCCTGCTCCTCAACCGCACACCTGTTTTCCACGGCATTCATGCCAATGGCCCACAAGCTCCAAACCAATACTTGTCGATTGAAAAAAACTCTGTTGAATGAGATTAAGGCATTTTTAAATTGTTTTGGGTAATTATTTCGTCGGTGTACATGAACACATAATCAGAATAGTGGTTGTCTAGAAAAAATATTGTCTTTTGAGTATAATTGTCTCCTAGTATCCGCAGCAACATATTAAAAATGACCTAATGACTTGAATGTCGAGTTGAAGGTCGTTTTTTTTATTATCATTTTTTTATTCTAAAAACGTTACTGACCACAGGTCAGAGGTTACATCAATTGCCTGAATCCGCCACAGGCGATTGTATTGTTGGAAAGCACAAGGATTAATTGTGGGTCATTTTTTTAAAAAAATACACACATTACAAACTAGTTTAGGTTTTATAAAGGACAGTTCCCAAATAAACCCAAGTAATAAACTTTAAAAAAACAAAAAAACAACAGATCCTGTTTCAGACCTATACTATAGACACCATTGTGACAACCAAAACGATACCCAGCACCCTCACCCGCAGTCTCTATTCAGTTGGAATAAATATCCGTAGGTCACTATATAGGTCGCCTGCCCAACCTCGTGCTTTTTGTCCGGGACCCCCCCCCCAACACATTGCACTGCTAAAGACCCCTATACGCACAAACGATTTATTGAAATAAATTTTAGACCCGAAATAAACTAGTTAACGTTATGTGGATGTTACCCCCCCCCCCTCCCTTCTCTCTCTCTCTCTCTCTCTCTCTCTCTCTCTCTCTCAGTAATATACAAGAGCTCAAAGCAGCTAAAACGAACGAGGAAGAGTTATGTGACGAATGCCGCTGAACTGACAAAAATATTACCCGACCAGTAAACACAAGTAAACATTAATTTCGTATTAATCTTATTTCGTCGCTTCCTTAAAATAGTACGGCGGCAGCATTATAATTGCTTGACAACAGAATATAAACAATGGGAAACATGGAAATGTGAGACCATATATAAGTGATTGGTATGATATGACTTAATTTTAAAAGTTTGATGAATTATAAAACATAATAGTACAAATTCAAAACGTGGTTTGTACTTTAATATTATACAGGTGAGGTATTGCACTATATCTGTCAGGGATTTCGCAATCGCGCTTGAAACGGCCGTATATTGATTTCATACCGGCAACACCCGTGACATATAAACGCTTAATCCAACTCACCTTTCAGTTAACAGTCCAAAATGTTTGCAGAAATTGAAAGGTAGTTTCATAAACTAAATTTTAGTACATCAATCTTGTATTTTCTTGTTGTATATATGTCGTTATTCCCGTGTTTCTTCTCGAAGGGTCTCGATGTTTGTGTTGTAAATTCGATCACGAGACGGAGCTCTTTATAAATACCGGGAATTACTCATTTATTTATAGTAGACATACCACGTGGTACATGACGTCATGAATTAGGCCACGATGAGGTTATCTTACCGGTTGAATATTGCATGATTATAATATATAGTTTTGTAAAAAAGCAAGTTAAGTTGATGATTCAAAGTTTTGTTATCAGGACAACTGATTGTGAATGCTATTGACCGAATTGCCACCTGATGACCCGAGACGACTTAATCCACGTTCGAAACTACGCTTGAATAAATTAATAAATAAAATTAGAATTAGGAGACGTAAAGAATTTTGTTCCATGAAAAAATTGAAATAAGATTTAACATCTTACTTTCTGTAGCAGACGGGCCAATGATGGCGGGCATAGGCTAAACTGATGTGCTATTGATGGAGGGGGGGGGGGGTGGATGGCCGATCTATGGTTAGCACGTGCGCGCTGTATAAGACCTGTCATTGAGTCAACTGGCGTGGTTTCGAATCCCCGGTTGTACGTGACAAGGAGCAGGGTCGCCTGTCCAACCCCGTGTGTTTTCTCCGGGTCCTCCGGTTTTCTCCCACTGCTAAAGACCCCTACGCGCAAGCGAATTACTGAAATAAAATTAAACCATATGTTAGTCCCGAAACGACCTAGTTTGTGTCGAGTGTACGTTAAACCCCATCTGCAAATGGGTCCTCGGCTGTGTGTCCCATCTGAACAACTAGACACCTTTCCTTAAAAGCCCCCCCCCCCCCCCCCATCCTTCCTGTACACACGATATTCGGGATCCCGATGAATTTCCGCTGTCAACACCAAGTATACTTGTAAAATTGATGCTTAATTTTAGAAATATACAACATAGGTTAGGGTGACTATTTTTTGAGTAATTAGTAATTCGAGGATGCGTTTGTCTTCTGGGTATTGACGATGTAGTATTCGATGATTCTATAATCAGTGAACATAAAGATTAAGTTAGGCTTTAATTCTCGTCTTTGTGAAAAAACATCAAATCACTACAAAAAGTAACTTAACATAAACAAATTCCAAAAGATTACCACTCTAATCTTAAAGCAAATTAAATCTTTAACAGGGTTGAGTGAGTAATGACTAATAAAAAGCACGAGACCCTAATTTCTTTGAACAAATGCATGTCATCCAGGTTGAAAAAGCGGCTTCGATTGAAATATTAAGACAGTCTCATGACATGAATTCATGTTATGAGTGACCTTCTCTAACCTATGATGAGTGCTACTTAGCTATGAGTAGTAAAGTAAATACACATAGATATTCCATATCTATCTAGGTTATAAAGGAATTTACCTAATTTAAACATAATATCCTACTATGTCATTCATTCATCCATTCTCCAAAACCTCCGCCCTTTGACGCCTGGTTAGGTCAGAGGGTTCCTTAAAGTTCGCTACCTAGGTCCTTTCTGTGCTCTAGCAGCGTGTGTGGGGGGGGGGGCGCAGAGAAATAAGCGACCCTACTACTATAGTCACGTACAAGCCTAGGATCGAAACCATAACACCTGTGTCACACAATCTTCCTATTTGGATATGTTAATCAATCTTTTATTTAGCTAAGTCAAGCAATCATTCAGAGACTTGTTTGTTTATATTTATTTTGGTTTCTATGTTGACAGTTTAGTCCACGTGGTCATCTGACTCACCTGTCAATAGATTAGATGAAAGAGAAGTCGGCGATTATTTTCCCCGAAGGTCAATAAAATAACTATTGTAGTCATTACACATTGATAAACCTGTATAGTACAAATTACTCATAGGTGATCCGGGCACCGCGGTTATACATGTATTAATCTTAATACCAACTCATTCAATACTAAATACATTGACACATATATTAAAAGTGCTATAGGTAATTATTTTATGAAAGTAGCTTTGTACGCAACCGATAAGTCACGATTATTAAAGGGTGTATGGCTCTATTTGTCTTAACCTTAAAATAGCAAAATATGGGTCAAAAAGCAAATTTTAATGTAATATGAATGTATATAAAGCGATTTAATATTATATATTCAATTTTTTAAAAGATTCTTCTAATTTCTAATCAATTATATTCTGTGAAATACGTTAACAGTCCAAACTGAACGATTGTTGTCTCCGCCTGCTTAGACTATTCTTCGCGGGTTTTTTTATTTTATTAGTTTGCCGTTTGTGAATCAGCCATTACTAATAACATCCGCATCGTCTTGTAGGATATGTTTTTTCTTTGTTCATTACAAATGCCGCATGAAACCATAGACTACACGACTCGTGTACTGATTTTAAAATGTTCCGTGTGTCTTAAATATTGAATATTAGGATCCCATATTTCCATGAAAAGATAACAACATCAATATATGAATTCCAATTCGTGTTTTTAATTTCGAATATTATGGACAATTTTGAGTTAGTGCCTTCGCTTCTAACTTGTGTTATTCTGAAGATTTTAGAAAAGTTTAAATAACGCCCACATGTTCAATATTTGTAGTAATTAAGGAATATGCGATACTGTGAAGAACATGACCAAAAAGCACACTGAGTAATAATAACAAGAGCTTTGGTGTGGAGGCCTTAATATATAGATGAATTGAACTGAAATTTGTTTAACTTTTCTGTGCCACCCGTGATAATGAAGACGGGGGTTTTGCCCCAACAGTGACGTTTCCGCCACCTCTTGCCAATGATATACACGAGACCTCGGTCTTTTATCCTACCCGAACGATTAGACACTGTTCCTGATCAGGCGCTTCGTCCCGCAACACGCTGAAAAATTCCGAGGCACTTTCTCGGCCAACTCCTGGACCTTCTGGCCCCGGGCCCTGTTTCACGAAATTTTAACTAAAGATAAAATCCAAATTTTAGTAGATACTTCAATTTTGATTGGCGAAGCACTAAAATCAATCTAATATTATCCAATCAAATTACTAAAATTTGGATTTTATCTTAGTTAAAATTTCCTGAAACAGGCAAATTCTTAGACTTAAGAATTTGCTCAAAATTGTTCGCCTTATTTTAACGTTTAGAAACAAATGAAGTTTTAAAACGCGACAGGCCAACGTTTTTAATAATTACAAGTGCCTCGTCCTTTTGAAAAATATAACACGTATTACAGTAATTTGAGTTGACATTCATTTTACGTTAGATTGTGGCAATATGACGACGTTCAGTTGTCGGAACTCTCCTGTAACATTGCATCATATCTACTGACGAAACCTGCTCGATGTTTCCATTGTGGAAATCCAAAAATTAGTATATTTGGTAACTTAATATTTCGTCATACCTAATATATACGGGACAGGGACAAGGGGTGATAGGTAGGTCGTGATATGAAAGGTTAGAATACAAATATGTAGCTGTGTGCTATGTGGAAAATCTTGCCCGGGCATTGGGACTAGGCTCTAATTTCGATTTGCAGCTTTCGGTGGATTTTTAAAGTCTTTCCAATGACACAAGACATTTGTTTTGTGTCTTACCCATGCGACTACGTGTATACGCAATTCCTTGTAGAGCCCGGGATGGAGGGCCTGGCAAGGACAGCTATCTAGTCGTTCGGATATGACGGAAAACTGAGGTCCCGTGCACGTAAAAGATCGATTGAGAGTTGGAATTCGATATGAGAGTAGGCCGTAGTGCAGCTGTCCGGGAAAAATTTCCCTCATAGCACACTGGATGGCGTATGACCGTCTTCATTAGCCCAGTACGGCACAGAACACTAAGACGTTAAACGCCATTTCATTTCATTTTGTCGAGCCCGGGACACCCTGGTTAGTGACCCAGCTAGTGCCATACTCATTTAGTCTTGGTGACTCACTGTACAGGTTCACATTATTATTGAACTTACTACGTGTATGTAACTTCACGTACGCTTAATGAAACATACGGATCCATAGGTTAGGTACCTAACTCTAATACCAAAACATCTATGATCATAATTACATGAGAGGAAAAAATATCCTTGAATGACATTATAGACGCGAAAAAGTACCTATCAATGTATTGAAACGTTGCATGCAATAAACTAAGAAGTAGTAAATCAATACTGAGTTTATTTCACACTACGTTTCAACAAGGCCCTCCTATCGTTTTCATGTAAGTAGTGACAGCGTAATGTGTGTGAGTTCGTATAATGGCAAGAAGGTAACAAAAACTATAACCAATCTGAAGCCATCAAAGGAATAATAAAAAGAAGAATAATAACAATACAAAATGGACATCAAATATACTGATTACGAATTAATTATGATATCATAACCCCCTGGAAGATATAATCCCTTGTCTCTATTAAGTTCAGGTTTAAATCTCTTGATTTGGATGGCTTCTTGCAGTTTTCTTGTATTGTGAAGATGTTTATTTATAAGTTGTGTTATTATGAATGAAGACTTTTTTTTAATAGTTAAAATACTCCTGGAGGCTTGGTTAAAAAATGTCCCCATTATGTTTGGTATGAAATTTTATCATAGTAGTATTACGAAATATTTGCCAACGTGTCACATGCTGAATGTTTGTAAATAATGTGAATCATAGTAGTTTGTGTTAACTACTGGTGGGGCTGTCTTTTAATCAGGCCAACGGATTTTATTTACCGATGATTCAGAGATTAACGCGCCAAACGTCTCGTGATTCTATTTATAGTAAGGGAATGATCTCCTTGTCAGTCTGCTAAAGGAAGAGTTACTCAATGAAATTGATTTCACAATGATGTTATTGCGGTGATATGCGCGTACATCGATCAGCTGCACTACCAGATCAGTACACCTATGTGCAATACGTCAGAATCTGTACAGGTAGGTCAATCACGAAATTATCAGTTGCAAAATTTGGTTACGCAATATCAATGTGTCAATACACGTGTTAATCTGTCAAACGCTTTATACTAATTATCTATAGGTATATGATACTAACCATTTTGAATATTAATTGAATATTTAAAAAAGAACACCGTAAGTCTTCCGAAAAATAAAGACGTTTTTTGGGGTTTTTTTTTTTGCATGATTAAAGAAAGTATAAAGGACATTGCAAACATCATGTATTATGTAAGGGACCCGCGGTGAGACGATGGCTCACTAACATGGAGGTCCCCCCTTCGATCCCAGGATTTTGATGCAGGACGGGGGGGGGGGGGGTCTGACACGGACAGCGCCTACTCGTTCGGATGGGACGAAAAACGAAGACCCGTGTATATTTTACGTTGGTGTGCGTATAAAATAACCATCATTGACAGAGTTATATATCTTTTGTAAATTAATGAAAGTCGTCACAAAGGTCCCCGAGCCCTCCTTCGGCGCGTATGGTTTTTGTCAGATGAAGTAAGATAAAGAGCTGACTGTTCTTGCTATAATGAAAAATGAATATCTTTAAACATAAAATTATGCAAGAGCTAAATCTGGCCATTGTCGGTCTTTCTTTAGGCCTGAAATTAGACATTAATTAACCTTTCCAGACCATAATGAACTCTCGATGTCATCGTTAGCCTGCAATGTTTATTGGATTAGGCTCCGATTTGCTGTTCGACTTCCATTCATGATTTAATCATGAAATGGATAATTGAGATTATGTTTTTTTTATCGTACTAACTTTATTAATGATGATCGAGGCTTGGACGAAAATTCAATCGCTAAAATCTCGGTTCAATTTGACTGAAATTTTCAGCAAATTCCCTTTACATTATCTAGTTTTTAACTATTACTCGAGAACTGCCAGCTCGTTATCTAATCTCCCTGATGTATCTTTAACATTTTAGTCAAATAACTTTATTCTGAGCGAAATCTCGATTTTTCATTTTAAAAATATGGTAGAAATTGTTTAATCCACTCAATATCTCAACCATCTAGAGAGTTGGCTATGGGCTTGTCAGGTGAATAAATGTCTAAATAATACTTTATATAGCATTTGAAGCCAGAAAAAAGAACTGCTACGGGCAGATTTAGCTCTTACATAATGTACCTTTAATAAACGGAACCAATTCTAAAAATCAGTTGTATAATTAGTTCAAAAGGTCTCTTAAAGCTAATATGAAATGAAATGTTCTGCCTAATTTTCAGTTAGGTTTTATTTTGGCCATGGACCGTATTGGCTTTCAAAAATTAGGACTGAATACTAACCCGAATAATAATTTTACACTAATATTCTCTAATGGGTGTATTTTAAGATTTGATGTCAGATTGCACTAAATATGAATCACCACAAGTGTCAGTTAGGGCCAGACCCTATACTACTATTTCATTCCACAAACAATTAAAGGGCGCATATAAGCTACGTCAGTAAAATAACTGAAAATTTGTAAAGAAGCAATTTGATGTTTAAAAATAAAATAACAAATTTCCTTTATCGATATACAATTGCGATGGCCGACGGTTATTGTAAACAAATAACACCTTAAAGGTCAATAGTGGTGTCAAGTCATTATCACATAGAACTGGTTAAACATGGTTCAATTTTATTTCACTAATTCGCTTGCGCGTTGGGGTCTTTAGTAGTGGAAGGAAACCGGAGGACCCGGAGAAAACCCACGAGTTTGGACAGGCGACTCTACTCGTTGTCACGTACAACCGGGGAATCGAAACCACGCCAGTTGACTCAATGACAGACCTAATGATACAGCGCACACGCGCTAACCATTCGGCCATCCAACCCACCTTCGCGTGTGATATTGGTACCCAAGACCTTACGGTTTGACCCGGGCAGGTGAAGAAGAGTGTTCTACTCTGCGACGACTTGAGGTTTACCCCAACATCCGACGGATGGGATCCATAAGTGATCATCGAGAGGGCAACTATTAATCGGACATAACTACGTGAAAGCATATCGGGTGGCCTGGATGGGACCGTTTCTTTGCCAATGGCACCACGACGCCTGGCCCGGTGAATGTTTACTTGATACCAAAGGGCCTAAGTCGGACAGGCGGTGGGCCCCTAGGTCCAGCTGCCAGTCAGATTTACCCACACAACTAACCTGGCTTTGGCAAGACAATGACACAGATGGCAACGCGGGTCAGATTGCATACGCTCGCCATCTTTTTCGGTTTCCCTTACGATACCCTATTATTAGTACCCGGGGCAACTCCTTTGGATGAAAATTACATTTGACGCGACACTGCTAAAGGCAATGTATCCTTATTTAAGGAAACGGAATCGAATAGGCCTCCTAATCTATCCCGCGTCTCCAACCTATTATATGGCTTCTCTGGCAAGTTTCTCAGGAAACACTTGTTTGCGATATCTCCGAAGGTGGGAGCTTAACGTAAAGCCGTACGTAAGAAGAAGAAGCAACGTATTTCTTATTGAGCCACCGCGGCTCCTATTTAAGGATAAGTAATTTGATGATTATAGTAATTTAATTTAAAGGCAGTGTTAAGGCACACACGCCAGACCCTTCACATATCCTTTAAAAATACATATTAAACATGTACTATTTTAATGTATACTATTTTTTTTAAACAAGAACATCCGATCATATAAAAAACAAACATTCATGGAAAAATGAGCGGCTTGTAAGAAAATGATAAAATAATTATTATTTCTTTCCTAAGCCACACAAAGACAGCGATGTGGAATCAATATATACCAATGTAAACTTCAAATGGCGGTAGACTACACATGGATAAAGTCCTGTTGACTGGAAGGATTTGTCCAAGGAAACAACGTAGATGATAGTATGACATTTCGGTAGAATACATGCACACATGCACACGCAGAAGAGAATTTGCCATGGCAGCGACGACTCCTTGCAAACGGGGAGAGAGAAAAATGGGGTTTAACGTCCACTCGACACAAACTAGGTCATTTCGGGACTAACACATAGTTCAATTTTATTTCAATAATTCGCTTGCGCGTAGGGGTCTTTAGTAGTGGGAGGAAACCGGAGGACCCGGAGAAAACCCACGAGGTTGGACAGGCGACCCTACTCCTTGTCACGTACAGCCGGGGAATCGAAACCCCGCCAGTTGACTCAATGACAGACCGCATGACACAGCGCAGCGCGCACGTGCTAACCATTCGGCCATCCCCCCCACACCTTTGCAAACGGTAACTCCAGTATTGTTGATATGTTTTTAGTATGTCCGACAATTATTGATATTCTATAACTTAGAATAACTTAGAAACAAAATATTTTGGATTTGATCTACGATGTTGCTTATCAAATATATATATATATTTTACCCGACAATATAAATATATCTAGCAAAGATTAGTAATAAATATTAGTACAAAGTTTATTAGGTTTAACCCCGTCGAGACTAGAATTGGTGGGCAAGTCAGAGAAAGAATTCGGTTTTAAGAAAATACACTCCTATTTTCTACTCAAGTGTATAAGTAGGACGCTAAACCCTATTTCAATTCAATTCATCCCAGGTGTTGATATCGTACGATTGTAAAATCCGCGTTTTGTTTATTTACATCGTGATTCATACACATCGCCGACATGTATCTAATGTTCATAGATATTCATCGCAAACCACAACACACTTAATAATACAACGGCATCGTGAATGGATCGAATGATATGGGCGGAGACATGATCTCATCAGTCACAAGACCATAACATCAAAACTATTAATAGTAGCGTCGTCATTTAGCGCATACGCTCTAACAGACATTACATCATTCGGGTATTTCCCGTGACCGCATTATTATATCACGTGACCAAACAGCGTGGCTTGTTATTCTATTAACCACGTTGCATTATGTCGGTTTCTGAAGTAAATAACAATGTGTCATGTTTCTATGTACACGTCTGAGTATTTAATTATATTGCACTTTCTTCTTGACTGATGTAATTTAAAGTGTATATTGCCTAAATTTCATCCGGGCGATTACGTTGTTTTTTTTTTTTTTAAGTCACTATAAGGTACCACGCCAAAGTCCACTTTATTTAATGCTCTCCTGAGTACCCGGTGTAAACCATCGAGGTGAACTGAAATGAAATGGAGTTTTATGGCACGTCAGCTCCAATCAGGCTATATTGCACCAACAAAAAGTAATATTAAATAAAGAAATACCCACGAGGTTAGGCAGGCGACCCTATACGCATTGCCAAGTTCACGCACCAAGCCACAACTTTCCTAGGCAATGCGAGTGAGAGAGAGAAATGGGGTTTAACGTCCACTCGACACAAACTAGGTCATTCCGGGACTAACACATGGCTCAATTTGATTTCAATAATTCGCTTGCGCGTAGGGGTCTTTAGCCGTTGGAGGAAACCGAAGTACCACGAGGTTGGATAGGCGACCCTACTCCTTGTCACGTACAATCGAGACGAGGAATCGAAACAACGCCAGTTGACTCAATGACAGACCTTATGATACAGCGCGCACGTGCTAACTATTCGGTCATCCAACCTCCCCATAGGCAATGCAATAGCGTGCATTAGAGTCCACTCAGTCACCCATCGGGTACTTTTTAAAAACACTAAGAAAATACTTGTCGAAACGGCGTGCTATATGATTGTTTCCCATATAAATTGTGTTTGTTAAACATACATTATGCAAGAGCCAAATCTGCCTATTGCGGGTCTTTCTTTAGGCCTGAAATGTTATCTAAATTATTAATTAGACATTAATTAAAGATACATTATGGGAGATTAGATAAAGGGCTGGCAGTTCTCACTATATATTATACTGATGTTCAAAAGAAAGTATACACACTAAAAGTATGACTAAGTTTTGTTTAGATTAAAAACATTTGATAAAGCATTACTGAGTTTGTCTCTTGCGCCAAACTCAACATTTCTAAGCAAAATAAAAATGTGAAACAAATTGACATTCTACCCAAATACCGTATACCAT